CAGTAAAGAAAAAAGTAAAGATGAAATCAAAGATTACTTCGATTGCAGGTATGATATAATATTCCTTAGTGAATATATCTACTATATCAGTTTTATATTTTCAGTTTGCAATAATTTACATTTTTTCCCTTAATAAATAGGTATGTTTCAGCTTCTGAAGCTGTTTGGAGGATATTCAAATTTCCCATCCAGTTTAGGACTACACCTGTGATGAAGCTTTCTTACCATCTTCCTGGAAAGCAACCATTATTTTTCGATGGCACCCAGAATATTGATGAACTATTGGATAGAAAAGCAAACGAAGATTCTATGTTTATGGCTTATCTTAATCTGAATAAGGAGAATGAGTTTGCTAGACAGTTCACTTACGCAGAGATTCCTCAATATTTCACTTGGGATGGACAGAATAAGCAGTGGAAGCTTAGGGAAAGAGGTTTCTGTATAGGGAGAATAAACTATGCCTCCATTAAAATGGAACCAGAATATTACATGAGGATCCTTCTTGGGATAGTAACTGGTCCAAAGAGTGATGAAGATATCAGAACATACAAAGATGTTGTGTATGAGACATACAAGGAGGCATGTTTGGCACGTGGTATTCTAACAGACGATCAAGCTTATATTGATAGTATAGTGGAAGCAAGCTTATTTTTCTTTGGAGATCATCTTTGTAATTTCTTTTCTATGATGCTTCTGGATAAATGTCTTGCAAGACCGGAGTATGTGTGGGAAATGTGTTGTGGAATTTTAACGGAAGACATCGAAACAAAGAAAAGAAATCAGTACAACAATCCAGGTTTGTTGAGATACAATTTTTTTTCCGTTGGTTTGCTTGCTTTCCGTTTCTGTTATAATGAAATAGTGTTTTTCTTTTTTACTCCAGATTTAGTATTAACTGATGCTGAGAAAAGAAATTATGCTCTTCAAGAGATAGAAGATTTGCTGTTGTGTAATGGGAGTACTCTGACACACTTCAAAGACATGCCTAAACCTACTCAAGAAGGTATAGATCATTCAAACCGTTTCATTACAGAAGAGAAAAACTATAACCGTGATAAGTTGCGAGAAGACCATGATGAGTGGGTTAATAAGATGACTTCTGAGCAAAAAGGCATTTATGATGAGATCATTGGTGCTGTTTTAGAAAACAGTGGAGGTGTCTTCTTTGTTTATGGATTTGGGGGAACCGGTAAAACTTTTATGTGGAAAACTCTATCTGCCGCAGTTCAAATGAGGGGTTTGATTTCTGTCAATGTTGCGTCTAGCGGGATTGCTTCTTTGTTGTTAGAAGGTGGTAGAACTGCACATTCTAGGTTTGGTATCCCTATTCATCCTGATGATTTCACAACATGTCATATCGTGCCTAACTCAGACCTTGCTAATATGCTTAAGGAAGCATCTCTTATCATATGGGATGAAGCTCCTATGATGAGTCGTTATTGTTTTGAGTCATTGGATAGAAGTCTAAATGTTGTTATTGGAAATGTCGATGGAAAGCCATTTGGTGGTAAAGTTGTTGTTTTCGGAGGTGATTTCAGACAAGTACTCCCTGTAATACATGGTGCTGGTAGGGCAGAGATTGTTTTAGCTGCATTAAATTCATCTTATCTCTGGGAACACTGCAAGGTCCTCACTTTGACAAAGAACATGCGTCTTATGGCTAATGATTTGGATAAAGATGAGGCAGAGAAAATTAAAGAGTTTTCTGATTGGCTCTTGGTCGTTGGTGATGGTAGAGTTTCAGAGCCTAATGATGGTGAAGTTCTCATAGATATTCCAGAAGATTTACTGATTAAAGATGTAAATGATCCTATTGAATCTATTATCAAAGCAGTTTACGGAGAATTGGATTTGTTGCAGCCTAATAATGATCCTAAATTCTTTCAAGAGAGAGCTATATTGTGTCCAAGAAATAGTGATGTCAACACCATCAACGACATCATGCTTGAGAAACTTAATGGTAAGAATTACGTTTTAATACTATAATCTTTAACTGTATATGTATAAGAAACTTATCAAACAAATTTTCCCTAAACAGGTGAAGCAATGACTTATTTAAGTGCAGACGATATTGATCCTCAGGATGGTGCTTCATTGAACAATCCTGTCTTCACACCTGATTTCCTCAATAGTATCAAGCTTTCTGGTTTGCCAAATCACAGTCTCAGTCTCAAGATTGGTGCACCGGTTATGTTACTAAGGAATATTGATCCAAAAAATGGTCTATGTAATGGTACTAGATTGCAGATAACGCAGATGGGTAATCATATACTTGAAGCCAAAGTGATTACTGGAGATAGAATCGGAGACAAAGTGATAATCCCTAAATCTCAGATATCACCTTCAGATACCAAATTGCCTTTTCGCATGAGGAGAAGACAGTTTCCAATATCTGTGGCTTTTGCAATGACAATAAACAAAAGCCAGGGACAATCACTTAAAGAGGTAGGGATTTATCTTCCTAGACCAGTATTTTCTCATGGCCAGCTGTATGTTGCCTTATCAAGAGTCACTTCCAAAAAAGGTTTGAAAGTTCTTATTGTGGATAAAGAAGGAAAAACTCAGAGTCAAACAATGAATGTCGTCTTCAAAGAGATCTTTCAGAACCTAAGGAATTAGGATAGTTTTAGTTTTTTTGCTTCTGTTATTTAACTTTGTAGATGTTTTGTATTGTTTTTTAGAACAGCAAGTTCCTTTCCATAGTCATTTTAATCCAAACATAATCAGACTCTCTGCAACTACAGTAGTGTAAGTTTAAGAGTTCATTTCTAGACAACAAAATCAAGAAACCTTAGTTCAATTATAACTCCGATTGAGACAAACAACAACTTTAATTTGTGTCTACAACTGAAAAAACAGATCCAAAACTAACCTTATAGAAATGATTATTGCTTGAAGTGTTGTCGATTTGCAAAATTTGATCTGCAAATGGTTTCATTCAGGTTCTGTTCTTCACTGATCCCCTCTCCCAGATTTCTAACAGAAATCAATTCATCATCTCAAGTGCTTTATCCGAATCCTATATGAAATCTGAAAAAGGTAATTGATCACAGAATCTAAATTATCTTGAAACAATTCAATTGAATTAGAATGAAGCTTAGAAATTAAGAAGAATTGGCGCAGAGAACATGTCTATTGATGTGAGCTTATGATCTGATTATCAGCTTCTTCGGTATCATCGGTAAAGCTTAAGCATGTCAATGGATGTTAACTTTCGGTGGAGAACGATAATCATCGTTCTCATATGTTTTTTTTTTTGTTTTTTTTTATTTTTTTTTATTTTTTTAAATACACAACTTATGTGTCTTTAATTTTTTAAAAACATAATTTTAATTTTATTTGTTTACTTTATCTTCAATTTTTTTAAAAAATTTTATAAATGTTAGAATCTTTGTTATGCTAAAAACAAATTCTCTTCAAAACTATATAGTAAAAGAACACTTATAATCACAAAAACAATTACACCACTTTTACTATTTCACATTTTAATATCTACTTTTACTTATATTAACATTACAAACCCATTTTATAATTAATACACCTATTTAAATATATTAAATCACATTCTTCTAAGTATTAAATAACAACCAACCAATTAAAATACCAATTATTAGTTATAAAGGATTTAATTTAAAAACCAATTTTATAAATTATGTATATAAAACATAATAAACTACTTAATAAGAAAACCGCACAAAATCTACGCCCGCGGGATACCGCGGGTTAAATCCTAGTATCTATTTAATTTACACTACCAAAATAACAATATCAATTTAATTTATAAAACATATGGGTTATTTGTGATAAATTTTCTAGAAATCTTTAGAAGCAAATAAAATATCTTTCAATTAATGATAATTGGCTAAAATGAGCGAAATTAATGACAAAAACGTTGATTGTTATGGAATTAGTCCCAAAAATATATGAACAAATTTATTATACGTAATTAATGTATAATATTGTTTGAAATATGCTTTTATTATTAGTTACCATAAGTACAATCAGATTTTATTTGATTTCCATAAATATTTGATTTTATTTCGATTTTTCATTATTAATTCGAATTTATATTCCAAAAAAATTTCAAAGATCCGATTTCAGAATTTCGGGTCAATTTTCTGATTTTAACCCGACCCATTTTCATTTGTACTTCTCTTTTAATAGTATAGAGATACCGTCAATTTTCTTTGGTTTGTTGCAACATAATGTGGACAACCTATGTTGAAGTAATCAATTGCTCTACCAATGAAGGTCTAGTGGTCTGAGCCAAATTATAAAAAATTTCACGAGACACTTAAAATGGTGTGTCCAAAATAGATTTTTTGTTTCACTTTCAAATGCAACATAATTTTTGTAAATTGTAATCTATAATTCATTTCTTTTTGAAGCATCCATGTGATGATAGACTTTGTGACCTTGTATCAATTATTCAAACGCTAAACATTCAAATCGATATCAAACATTGAAATCCTAAACACAAGAATTGAATCTAGTGCTGTTAACTGTAAACATACGAATCAAAAACCTTAACATATATGAATTCAGATGAAACAAACGCTAAAATCTATCCCCTTATTATTAAAAGGGAAGTACAAATTGAAAAATAGTCTAATTTGGCATCAATTTCAATTTCAATTTTGGATTTTGTTCATTGTTAATCAAAATCGTCAAGGGTAATTTGGTCATCAAATCTCATTAAACGATTAGAGGATCCGCGTGTTTCTAATCGGGTAGTGGATCAAATATCTCCAAATACATAAAACGAATCACTAATCGGGTTTAAAAACTTCAAAAAAAACAATTATTCGATCCTAACCATTCAACATATATGGTATCTAATTAAAGGCATATTCGAATTACATTGTAAGATATTCTCTATATCTCGCCTAATTGCTAACTAAATTTCTTAAATATATGATCTAATATAATCCTAACCATAAACTACAATACAATATCTTTATTTCCCCTAAAATCGTGTATCATTCATTTTGATGCCAATGAGAAGATATGATAGTTAACGTATCCAATATTTTCTGCTTCCTCTACAAGATTTTCGAAAATTTTAAAGCCAAAAACCCTAACATTCTACTTCACTATAAATATCAAACGTCTTTCTTATTTCTTACTCATCCAACAATTACCTTTACTCACAGCAAACGACTCATTTTTCTTTTTTCCAATGTCTCAATCAATTGCTTTCCTTGATGATGTGAAGCTGTACAAAACGGCTTGGAGAGTTCAAGTCGGTGTCTTGCATATCTGCAATTTATAGAAGAACCATATGATTCTCCGATTGTTTTACAATGGTTAGTTAGTAACGATTTAGTTTGGTTGTGAATTTGGTTTTCAACACATTCAAGCAATGATAAGTTTTTTAATTCTTATCATGCTACTACAATTCAATCAAATATTGTTTAAAAAATCAACGATTTCATCTAAATTGCATTCCTTAACAATAAAATGGCTTTTCAAACTTTTTGTACAAAACAGAAACACCTAAGTTGATTTTTATCCCTAATCGAATGCACAAAATGTAAATGTTCATCTAAAATAATAACTGAGAAAATAACCTTATAGAGATGATGATTGATTGGTTTATGGGCACGCATCGAAATCTAACTTTTGCCCGGATTAAGACAATCGGGGTTTTCGACTCCTGTCTACCTTCAGATATCGGTCATGGTGTTTCCTACCTTCATGAGTGGCTATCCGGCTTCTCTTTGCAATAATTCACACTCAATTGAAGCCAAATATGATCTGGGTTAGATTTTAGGAAATTAGATAGAGATGAGAACTCAACAAATGAAGAACATTAATTGTATTCGTGTTTGAGTTACCAACGATCTAGATCGGCCCAGATACATGCAGAATCGATGGATTCTCTGATTGGATATACATGCTGAATCGATGGATTCTCTGATCGGAATATAGAGTTGCTCGAAGAAAATCAGAAATCAAGATGTAAGAAACGTCTTTCTGTTTTCCTTTTTTTTCTCTCTTTTTTTTAAGACTTATGTCACTAAACGCAATTTACCTTCTATTTTGTTTACTTTTGTCTTGATCATGTAAACTTCTGATTTTATAATGTACAAAAATTCCGTTTCACAAGCATTATTATTTACAGCATATTTTCTTAATTTAATTTCTATTAACATTATCACTTCTACATTATTAAAGATATAAAATGAAAACCGAATAAAACCTACATTCGCGGTGTACTGCGGGTTGAACCCTATTTTCAATATATTTTTGCAACCAATATATTTAGGGTCGTTTTAACAAAATCATATCTTCTCATTTTAGCAACTAATGTAAAAAACAATTGAAACACATAAATAAATTAGTTTATATGATCTAGGGGATTTAAAAGTTTTCAAATTGAATGACGAATACTAAATTCGCTAAAACCATAACAAAAATAATATTTTAAATATGTTGGCTATCGAAAATATGAGCATATATTCTTCAAGCGAGTAATTAGGAATATTTCTAAAAATTGAAACAACCAAATCCGCGGTATTTTATTCTTGAATTAGGAAAAAAAAACATTAAAACATTCTACAATTAAATCACATCCTAACTATTGTTACCAAAACCAATAACCAGATCTTTGTGACAGATTGTAGGAAATAAACATTTTAAAAGTTCTAAATTTAAATATCAAATTAAATGGGTTAAATAATCATCTTTTCCCAAATTTAAGATTTCCAACGGTTTGACCTAAAATACTTACTCCAAATAATATGTCTCCCACTCCATAGATATAGAGTAAATTGGCCTGCAAGATTATCGCACCGCACGTAAACATTCTCTTCTCTCTACTTAACAAAAATCAAAACGTTTTTTATTCAATTAACTGTAAAAAACATAAATACTTTTTATAAAATTATAAATTATACATTATTCAATATATAATATGAAAACCAAATAAAATCGATACCCGCGATGTACCGCGGATTGAATAAAAAACTTAATGAATATATTAGAAATTTGATATATCTATAATCAAAAAGTTTATACGATATTAAATTTTGATACAGATATATAAAATAATACACATGTTTAACCACATTAAAACCCTTTCTCCTAATTAAAAATTTAACAACAAACAAAACAAAATATAAATTATGTATATAGAACATTATCAAATACTTAATAGAAAAACCGCATAAAACCAATGCCCGCGGTGAACCGCGGGTTGAATCCTAGTATTATATGATTTGCCAATGCCGACGATACTGTTTTAGGCTATATAATAAATTGAGATAGATTTAAAATCCGTGGTCAATGAAAGATGATTAATTACAAAAAAAAACTAAAAAAGATTGTCAATAATTTAGATGAAACAAACTACAAATTAATCTCTAATTTTGGACCGTTTATGCAATTTATTCCCAAAATCTTAGAATTCAAGAGAACCGGAAATAACCTATTTAATTCGGGTTTAGCACTGTTTTCAGTATCTTCATGTTAACTATAACCAAAGCCGCCGAGACTGTGATAGCCAATCGCGATTTTGATTTTTGAATTTTGCTTCGACGGCGGAAAAATGCGATCGTTAGAAGAGTTATCTCCGGTCGAAACCCTAGATATCGAAGAGAACGGTCTCTCTCTCGTCTCACGCGTCAAGCTCTGTCTCACAATCCACCCAATAGTCCCCTCCGTATCCAAATCCATCGACGAATGGCAACTCAAACGATCCTTAATAGATTACCTCAAAAACTCCGTCGTACCGTCCGTCACAGTTGCGGAGGAAGACATCGTAGTTCGCCGTCACAAGGATTTAAAGAAACGGAAGCGTGAGGAGCCAGTTGCTCATGGATCGTTGTTTATACGCGATTTAGGGTTTCTTGATGGGAAGAAGAGGAAGAAAGAGAATGATGGAGAGAGAGATGTGAAGGAATTGGAGAAGAAGTTTTTGGATTGGAGGAAGAGTTTGGTGGAGAAGATGAATGGTATTGAGCTTAATTTGGAAGGAGTTAAGTATAAGCTTAGTGTTGTACTTCCGATTTCAGATGATTTCGAGAGGTTGAAGAAAGATTGGGAGGAGTTTTATGCTTTTGGTAATTTTGGTTCTTCAATTTTGGATTTTGATTTTACGATTTTTCGTGTGTTTGATGTGTTTGTGATTTGCAGGACATTCAAGGGAAGGAAGGAGAGAGGCTGATACGGTTATACTTAGAGGTGTTCCATCAAGATGGTTTGCAGAGCCAAGAGTTTCATCGAAGCCTTCAATGTTGGTTACGCATACAATCTTCTCTAGCTTTGGGAAAATAAGGTAAAGATTCTGTCACATTTCATGGCCAATTTGCTTCAAGAATATGAGAATGTGAGCTTAAGGGAGTTGAGATTGATTTATGGTTTGCTTATTGGAAAATTCATTGGTTTTGTGTTGCTTCGGATAGATTTAATGCATCTACATTTGGTCATAGGCTACAGAATTTGTCCATGTAGTTCAAAAGAAATGACATTTTGTATGGAAATCTTATCTGAAGACAAATTACAATCATTGTATCGAACTTGCTCTACCATGTGTGCTCAGTATTCGTCGGATCATTTATTCTGTTTACCAATGAATCTGATGTTAATGTAATTCCGATAATTTACATAAATCCATGTTCAGCTGCATTAACTCATCCTCTATAGGAATCTTAATGTTGCTGAGGACGATGATCTAGGTAAGGACGCAGATGAGGACAGTGGAGACCTCGTATCAGGTCTCCATTGTAAGATTGTGGTTCAGTTCGAGAAGTACAATGACTTCGTAAATGCCATGAAGGCTTTCAGTGGTCGCTCAATGGAAAAGGTATCATCTATATTGCAAAGAAGCATTTTAGGTTTCATGAGACAAATATTTTGGGAACATTGGATATGGTGGTATAGTAGCTTTCTTTGTTCCGCTGTTGCCTAAGCTTCTTAAATAGCAGACGGGCTTATATCATTCGCAAAAATGTTTTTTTTTGGATGCTTCTAATGAATCCTGCACTAGATTGTGTGAAAAAACTAGTTTCTGCCAGTGTGGTTCTGTGGGTTCTTGCTACTGTATCCAAACCTAAATACTGTGATATAACCACATCTAAATATGTTTTACCGGCTCTGCAACATCTGTATATACCACATTCAATACTTCCAGTTTGATAGTCAATAGATTAAATTTAATTTGATTGTTTATGCAGAAAGAATTAGGCAACTGGTATTTTTTTGTTGGTATTTCTCGTGTATGCATTGGAACATTACTGATGTATTCTGTGTTTTTTTTCATCTGAGCAGGAAGGCACTCGGCTAAAGGCAGACTATGAATTAACATGGGACAAGGTTGGGTTCTTCCGGAACTCGAGAAGGACGTTGGATAACAGAGATGGAGGATACAGAAACGAGGCTTTTGGATACAATCAGGATGATTTACGCCGGAAAAGATTTAGGGTAATGCATGATTGTGATCATATAATTAAGATGGTGAATCCAGACAATGATTCTGATATGTTAAATCTGTTTATTTGCAGGAGTAATGCACTGAGATGATGTCTAGAGAAACATGGGAGATGTAGTGCTGCTCTCTGTCTTCTAGGTCAATGACGGTGTTGTATTTGTATTTTATATAATGTTTTGAAGATTTCTAAGTTCAGATCTGATTTTTGTTCTTATGCCAAAATACATAACGCAGAATTTGACTTGACTCGAATTTAGTTTTGGAAATATATTCCCTTTGGAAAAATGTGAGTAGAAATTTGGCATGTCAGTCGTCAATTGGGCTAGTTCGGTCCAACCTAAGTTTGCAGGTCTAATTTTTTATAATCCGACTAGAACGGAGATAAGCCAAAATATGGAAAACGGTCTATTTCCCTCCGAGAAGTATCGCATCATAACAGATAGAGCCCAATCTATAACTACATGTTAGGTGTCTCAGAAACAATATTTGTCAACCTATATCTCCTCGAATCCCAAATCTTTTTGAAAAAATTGAAGCACCATTAACAATCTCCAGTGCCTTATCCACGTCTCTGTTTTTGCAAACACCATTAATCACTGTGTTTTCAATAAGATAAACTCGTTCAATTGCAACATTGCAAATACAACAATCTAATTACCCCAAATCAACATCTCTATTATTACATTTGTTTTATTGAATCATCTCTCTGTTTATTAGATTTCTCATCTTAAAATCAATCGGGAAACAAATTACAAAACCCATAAAAGAATCAACACAAACCATCAAGCCGATAATGGCGGATTCAGCGATGAATTTTCAATTTGGATGGGATAATGTCCGATGGTCTCGATTCGGGTTTAATCAAAGCCGATGAAGCTCCAATAGTGAAGCAGATCAGGGCGGAGAGGAGGAATAAGAAGAAGAGGGGAACCGCTGCAAAATAGATCTATAGCCACCATCATCGGCATCGACATCACCGTTCACCTAAGGGGAACGAAGAAGAAAGCCATCGTGTTTTCTTTTTGTTTCTTAATTATTCAATAAAAATTACCCAAAAATATCATACAATTAATTAAATTAAATGTATTCGGTTAAATTGGGTTGTCAACGGGTTTAATCTGGTTATAATTAGGTTTAGTTGGTTTGTTTATCGATTTTGAATGCAGTAAACCGATTAAACCCAGTTCTGTGTGGTTTTAGCTCTCGAACTATTAAATCGGGGACATTCAAGTATTGAACTTTGAATTCATGGGAAAATAGGAATAGAACTTTCATTTCATGGACATTAGGACCGAGGTTAAAGTTTGGGCTCTATCTGTTATGATACGATACTTCACGGAGAGAAATAGACCGTTTTCCCCCAAAATATACTAGAAAGTACAAACTAATGTTTTGGTAATACTTTTCAAAACTTGCATAGTTTTAAGATATTTGATTTGGAAAAAACTATCTTAGCATAAGTCCTGTGAATATTATATTGATAGCTAAAGTTATAACATCATCAAAACAAAGTTCTAGAACCACAACCATATCCATCACCAATGAATCATATTTCTAAAGTGAACAAATCTGATAGGATAACATAGAAAAAAAGGCTTTTGCAGCGGACAAGATATATCCATAAATTTTACCAAAAAAAAAAAAAGATATATCCATAAACACGACTTTAATAAATCTCAAAACTCCTTGAGAAGACCGTTACCTATGTAGAACTTCCATTGAGGTCAATTGATATCTAGAAGCTGTCTGAGTCCGAGACATACTGTCTCTCCTTGAAAGATATATACAAGGTCATCCACCATATACCTTTTATTTCCATTAATAATCATTGATGATAGTTTGAAGTTTTTGGTTCACTTTCCATCGAATATCCATGTATCACGTTTTCCATAAATGTGTAGTGGCAACTAATTGAATTATTAGACAACATGACAAATGTATCGCATCATTATCTATCTTTCATTTCCATTAATTAGTATTCCTTCCGTTTCAAAATATAAAATGTTTTAGATAAAAGCATGTTAAAAAATAACCACTTTTAAAAAGTTCAACCAATCATGAAAGAAACTGCATAATATTAATAATCATAAAATAGTAACCTAATATATAATTTATCTAGAAACTTTAAAACATCTTATATTGTAAAACAAAAAAGTTTCTCTAAAACATCTTATCTTATGAAACGGATGGAGTATTATTTAGGATAGGTTGAAAGTTATGCTTCTTTTATTATTTTCACTTTACCGAATGACCATAGTCTAGTGATTAGTACTCATGTCTTTTTTAGCAATATACATTATTTTAGATGGTCCAAAACGACCAAAATGCTAACTTTAACGTTACGAGTCCTTGGAAAATATCATATCATTGTTTTATTTTTCTTTGTTAAACCGATGGAGTTCCCGACCTTGGCCATAATCTCCCCTAGTACATGGAGTCAGTCTTTAGATATTACGATTTAAAGAATACACTTGCGTACCAAAAAGGGTTTGAACCTTGAACACAAAAGGAACTAACCCTGTCTTACCACTAGCCACTAGGCCACCACCTCTTTGGTTCATACCATTGTTAAAAATTGGGATTTTATATTATCATTTAGATAAAAGTTTTTTGCTCAAATTAAGCATGGTTGCAATAGATCATATGTTATCAAGAACATCTCCAATTGCATTATATACATGTATAAACATTAAAAACCTAAAAATATAAAAAGCTACACATTTTTCTGCTAATTCAGCTGTTTCTAAATTCAACAACTATGAACGAAACAGAGAATAAACAAAAAGTAACAAAGAAATAAACCAAAAAACTTTTGACAAAGAAAAAAAAGTGTTTGCTCGGTCACGCGGTTTTCTTCACGAGCAGCCAAAATAAGAAACTTCTTCTACTTGCGAGGAGAGTTATCACGAACAGTTCTTGGATTAAACGATGCTCTGTTCTCAATACTCAATTTCCTAGCGAAATCTTTCTTCTTCATCGCGTAAGCCGGTGATGATCCTCTGTTTCCGCTTTGTTCTTGAATCGTTGGAACCAAGTACCAAGCGATACAAGTACACATAATCGCAACAGATCTTCCAAAGAAAACCAAAAACACAAGAACCAAGATCATAGTCACAGGCAAGAAATGATTCGGTCTAGCGATCTTCTTTAAATTCTCGTTTATAACACAGCTCTGTTTTTGCTCTGTTTCAGGCTCTATGTTCTTGATTTCCTCTGTTTTCGCTTCTTTGACTTCTGTTTTGACTTTATCAGCGACAACATCTTTCGTCTTCTTGTTCTTCTTGTGAAGATAAGATGATCTGATCACAACGGGGACACACTCACCGGAGCTTGTGAACACGAATCGAACAAGAGGCGGGCCACCGGAATCGAGCTTCTTCGAGTATATGCTTTGTCTCTTCTCGTCGAGCTCGGAAAGAAGCTCAGAGAATTTGTCAAGTCCACGATTTGAATAAGGGTTCTTGCTTGCTTTTCTTGATTTTTTTGGTGAAGAACATGGAGATCTAAATGGGCTCACCATTTTTACTTTGAGCGATGATCTTATGGTTTCTTTAATCTTGAGATGTTCTTGTGAGATTCAGAGAGTTCCAAGTTTTTTTTTTTTGGTTTTTGGTTAATGAGGATTTGTTTTGGAGACAAGAGAGACGACCTTGTTATTAATATATAAGATTTGTATTAATTTTATAAAAGATTTCACGGGACAATACTATTCTTTATGTAACGCGATAACGTTTTTTTTTCTATATTAAAAGGATTTAAGAATTTGACCGGATCAGATGATGAAGCGTTATAACTTGGTCAAATCTTAAGATCTCAGAATTTTTTTTTTTTTTTTTTTTTTTTTTTTTTTTTTGACATTTTTGGATCGACAAGGCCCGATCCATAGCCAATCCTTATTACGCGGGGTAACGCGATTTAGTTAAGTCGAACTCCGGTGGGGAAGGCGGAGTCAAATGGTCAAGTGGACTTAACCACTTGACTAAAGGCACATCCCCTTAGAATTTTATATTTCTTTTAATTTTTTTTTTTGTTTGGATGATTATAAGAATTAAGAAGTTTCCAAGAAATAAAGAGCATTATCATCGATCGCGTATGTGATAACGTTGGTCTTATTTATTGACTTTCTTGGGGAATAAGCTAAAAATAAGTCTTTCTTACATAAATTTCCACGACGGATGAATTATTTAATGTATAGATATTGATGTTTTTGGCAACTATTTTGATGTGTGAATGGCAACTAATTTGATGTGTGTGTGTGTGTGTGGGGTATAAATTATACATATTGGATGCGAAATTTCGAAATACATAGGTTTGTAAACAGAATTTACAATCTGGTAAAGCAAGTTATAAACATATATTTGATATATTTGCAAATTATTTTTTGTTTATAAAAGTGTTGCAATATAAACATTGTTAAAACACGAGTTAGGTTTGTTAACTTAGCTCGAAAGCTTGATATTATTGTTCACATAATGTTGGTGGCTTTATTAGTTTAGTTTTCAGTATTGTTATGTATGCACATGTGACACAATTAAGTGTTGTTTTGCTAGTTACCAAGTGTTTTATATAAAAATTTAGGTTGCCACTCTGTGTTTAGACTTTATAGATAATTATATATATATATATATATATATATATATATATATATATATATATATAACATTAGCATAACATTAGTATGCTAAAAGAGAAGATAGAAAGATAAAATTTAATGTCAAGCAAGTGGTGTGTCTTGTTGCAGATTCTGGCCAATCTGGCCCCTCCAAAGGAGATTGAACATTGCATCTCTAGTTCTATCATTGTCTAGGAAGTTATATTAATTCAACTTTATATCTTTTTTTTTCTCTTGCATTCATCGATCACATCAATTCTCGCCACATTCTCTCAAATGCAAAGGAAAAAAAAGAAAAGACGAGGTCTAGGAAAATTTAGAAAGCAGGGATCAGTATCGTGAAACTAGTATTTATGATCCGAGAGTTTATCTAACATCCGTTCCAATATCTTATTAATGAATATAAAAACTTAGAAAAAAAAAATATTCGTCTTGATTTGTTAATTTTTTTAATATATGTCGAAATTTAATTGATTGACATATACTTGTTTTAACCACATTAATTACAATTTTTATATGTGTTGGAGTTTTGTAAGCGAAATCAAGTTTATAATAAAATAAGTTAAATTTTCTCTCTGTTTTGTAGCCGCTTTTCATTGTTGTAATCTTCTCCGCTATGCACTTTCTTGAGGATTAAACTAATATAATTTGAATTATTAAAATAAAAAAATTATGCAGCTAAAAAGTTATTTGAAAGTATCAAGTTAAAAAAAAGTGATGTGAAAATTTGAGTAATTGGAGAAATAAATTGTGACAGAAAAAGAGGTTCAAATCACCTAAACTAGTGTCAAATCATCGTAACTTTTGGATAAACGTTTACAAGTAAACTGCTTCACCATCATAATAGTCCTACCGCAATATCATACGAATAGTTAAACGAATTGATGGAATAATACAGAAACGACAGAATGACATCAATGCATAAATCGAAGAGATGATGATGATGATGATGATGATGATGATTATTCATTGACTATCGATAAAAGACTTGACTTGATCTTCTAGAATCTTTATCTCTTTGGCTCTATTAATTTTTTTCACATCAATGGTCTCAATAATTAGTGCACTCCTACATTTTTCCATTTACAAAAGTAAAAGATTCTTATTCACACTGTGTTCATCAACATATTTTTCCGAAGTATACATGTTACTGATTATTAACATTTTTTTTATTTCTATCATTTAAGTTAAGTGTGATAGACATCAAAATATTTATATCATTAAATAGAAGTATTGCATTAGTAACTCTCCACAATGGAAATTGATACATTTATATATACCAAAGCAGAAAATGTTCATATAAAGTTTAGAATTTAACCATCTTAGGTAATTTAAATATACTATAGCCACTTTAGTACAAATCAAATGCTTAGTGATACAATCTTTATAGTGTATTTCAATCAAAATCATCCTCGTATTAATTTATTTTAAACATAAAATATTAGGATCCCACATCGAAAGTTTGAAAGAACCAACACTAGTATATAGAAGATATGAGTCAATCCATTTGTTATCAATTAGTTTTGAGTTGAAAACCCATAAAACTTAACATGGTATCAAAATCTTATTTGTTAACCCAAGTAAAGTAGTCCAAAAGGGGTTATTATTGCTTCTAAATTGAGGTTTAGTTGGAGATAGACCGATAACAGTCATCACTTTTAAGGACCGTGTTAGAATTTCTTATCGAAAATTTGAAGGAAACAACACTAATATATAAAAAATATTGGTCAATTCACTCATTGTTAATTGATTTTGAGTTAAAATCCCATAAAAATAACATAAAACAATTGATTAGGTATTAAAAAAAAAAACCTCCAATCCATGAATCCACTTGTAACGCAGCTTAAGGAGTGTGAATTCAGAACTAGGTATATGAAAGTCCAAAAACACATGTTTTAAAAATTCTACAATACTCTGGAACATTCTATGTGTCATTGAAAATTATTTGTGAAATAATTTATTTTGACATACTCGAATCAAAAACTACTATATGCATATGTTTTATTTTCTCAAATAGTTAATATATTTATTTTCAAAATCATATTCAATCCAATGGTTTGAACTTTGTACATTCGAAATCCTTCAATTAGAAAAATCACCAATAAGAAGATCAGAGGCAGAGTATTAGTTTTAAGGACACATACACTTATGTACAAACGTTACAGACACTTTAGCTTGTAACCAAAAACAAAGCAAAGCTTCCATGACACAAACATATCACATAATTTATGTTATTGTTCTTCTTAAACACTATTATTAACAACATTTCAAGCAAACATGAAAATAGATAAAAGAAAGTAGCTGAAAGATCTCTCTGAAAATTACCTGCAAAAGACTTGATCTCAAAACTCAGAGAGCTCATTGTTGTTCATGGTAGCAGCTTCTGGATGATAATGAATCATTTCCTTCCACATTAACTCTCTTATCATCTCTGCTCCCAAATCCTCGTCTTCGTCTACATCAAGATCAATAGGAACTTGAGCAGGTGGATTTGCATTCGGGTCGTATAAAGGCGCCATGTAAGGATGCTGAAGCGCTTCCGTGACACTAATCCTTTTTGAAGGGTCAAGAACGAGCATTTTCTGAAGCAGATCGATGGCTAGAACGTGTGCATTTGGGTAAAGACGAGAGAATGATATTCCCGGTGAGTAAGGGAGTGATTCTATGTATCTTTTGGCTTTCGGGTTATCTATAAACTCGAGATCTTCCTCTCTCTGGCTTCCCAAAATGTTAATGATGAGTTTAATCTGGTTTAGACATTCTGTTCCAGGGAATATAGGTTTTCTTCCAAGAAGCTCGGCGAATATGCAACCAACTGACCAGACATCAATGGAGGTTCCGTAGTTGTCACAACAGAGGAGAAGCTCTGGTGCTCGGTACCATCTAGTCACAACATATTCAGTCATGAACTGACCTTTGGTGTTGCTCGTCCTCGCTAGCCCAAAATCGCATATCTTTAAGTCGCAGTTTGCATTCACAAGAAGGTTACCGGGTTTCAGATCCCGATGGAGAATGTTTGCTGAATGAATATACTTGAGCCCACGAAGCAACTACACAACAGAAAGAAAAAACAAGTAAAAACCAAGGCTTGGATTGTTTCAAGACAACCTTTTGAAAAGTGTTAATGCAAACGATGCACACTAAACGTAATAGAATACGCAATCAAATTGCAGGCCTAACCGCCTAAGCTAGAACAAGTATTCTTGATATATAACCTGATAACAAAGCAACAGTACGCGCAAATTGCATACCTGGAACAAGAAGTATTGACAATGGTCATTACTTAGCACTTGAGACGACTTGATAATCTGATGAAGATCAGTATCCATAAGCTCAGAAACAAGATACACATCCTTAAAGCTTCTCTTATTGTTAGCCATCATTACATCTTTAAGAGCAACCACATTCTCATGTCGAAGATGACGTAAAAGCTTAAGTTCCCTAAGAGTCCTCAACGCATCAATCCGATTCTCAAACACATTGTGGATCTTCTTGATCGCCACTCTCTCATTACTCTCTCTGTTAACCGAAGAACAAACTACACCGTACGCGCCTCGGCCTATCGGTTTAATAGGCACGTATTTCGTATCAATCTCGAAAAGTGTTTGCCACATTGAGAAGTAATGCTTCCCTTGATTCCTTATTCCATTTGGTGGATCAACCGGAGTCGCCATTCTTCTTCCTCCTTATAACAAACAACACAGAACAAAAGGAATAGAAATCGAAACTTTTTCGGAATTCGAACATCCAATAACCGATTTAACAAGTTATATACCATTCCCACAAAAGTTGAAAAATTTACACAACACATAATTTTGAACTACTTAAAGATCAAATTTTTAGGTTTGATCTTAGGGTTCTCTAAGCTTAAGTTTATGAAATTCACTGATCCAAATCACTCTAATGTTTCAGATTTCACTAATGATCAAAAGCTTTGTTTAAGGGAAAGGAACAAAAATTGAATCTTGATCGATGTTGAGATTGAGCTTGAACGATCTGAATTTTGCAGAGAGAGCTTACCCTGTGAGTGTGTTGGAGACGAATCAGATTCGTCGGTGACGATCGCCGGTGAGATTTGGGTTGAGAGAGAGAGAAGAAGTTGGGAGAGAGATTTGGCTGGTGAGAGTGAGAGATTTGGTCAACGCTCTGACCGTTGACTCTCTAGTTTCTCGTTCATTACCATTTTAGAGCTGTTTCTTTTCTCTGTCTCTTTCACTAATCCGTCATTAAGTTTGGGCTTAATTAAGCCCAATCTGATTAGTAATAATTAATCTAAAAGTATAAATATTTAAGATTGTAGGGAGTTCACAAAAATGTGGACGTGCCGGAGTGGTTATCGGGCATGACTAGAAATCATGTGGGCTCTGCCCGCGCAGGTTCGAATCCTGCCGTTCACGTTTTTTTTTACCTTTTATTTTAACATAGAAAAGTGATGAATTTTTAACATCATTAGTAAAATATAAGCTTAAAATCTCATATGGGATTTGAGTAATTACTCGTTATCACGATCTACAATACAAAAATCGTTCTAGTCGAATTCAAGATACAAGGCTTTATATAACAAGACTAATATATGATTGTTTGCTTGGTCAATGGTTTTAGTAGATCGAAAGTTTTTTAGTCCAATGTCTTCTAAAGGTGAGATGAGACCTCAGTATTGTCAGTCAATGGCGGTAAATCTTCAAAACTTGTTGTATTTGTTCCCGGCAAAGAGGACAGGTCGTCAATCGCAAGGAGCATGTTAAGCAGCAACACATATGACCACACCTACAAGTCCAAACCAAACGAAAAGAGGAATCAAAAGCTGCCATGTTTGATCAATGAGAGGGTTTCAAGAGTTTTTACAAGAAAAGGGGTGTTATACTTACTGAACAAAAGCGGTGTTATACTTCTGGTCATGGCAGATCACGCAGAGATCAGGTACATCAACAACTCTGCAACAAATTGCTCAACACTTAACTCGGAATGGCTAATTTATATGTGGTTTTGGTTAAGCTGCGATATACCTTTTCTGTAACAATTGTCGCCGCCTTCTCTCTAGAGTATCTTCAATTTTCTTTAGAATATATTTAATCACAGGCTTTGAAAGAAGAATCACACCAACAACAGTTAAACCCATGGAGGCATACTTGAACCTCCTGCCAAAAAAAGATGTCTTATAGACTTTTTTTCAGTCATAGTTTTCGAAGAAAAGAATTGGCAAAACAGAGAAAAGAAACAACCTTGACCATTCTCCCAATTTAGAGATGAGTTGATCGAGCGGTACATAAGACACGTAGAAAGGTCCTTGCTCAGGTTTTTGAATCCTGACATTCCCCATGCCATCCTTAACAGCCTTAAGCAACACAACAAAACTGAAATGTAAAACGTATTCTGATATATAAGGAGATTTTTAGCCGCTAACAGATAAAAACATACCTCACCAACAATTGTAAGCGGTGTACCAATTGGGACAACATGCTCAACGCGTCTTACTCCAAGTATCTATAGACAACAATGGTGCCACAATATATTAGCATTTTCCAAACAAAAGCAAATAAAATGAAAAGTGAAAGGAAAGGAAGAAAAAGACCTTGAGGCCTTTAAGATAATCCAAGGTTCCTTGAACAAGCGAAACCGGCTCTGCCTTTTCAAATACATCACTTCCAACCGTCAACGCCAAGCCTATTTCACCTTGAGATACCGCTACATTCACACGACCTGTCCCATCGTCCTACACGCAACCAATATCAGACTTTAATAGTAATATACTCTAATCAAAGTCCAACAGACTTATACCAGAAACCACGGGACTTCCTTAGTCATCGGCTGCATCAATGTACTCTTTCGAACCCACGAGAACCTCCAATTACGACTCAAAACCTGTTGTTCTGCCTGAAAGATCGTTTTTTTTTACATACCCAAAATCAATGAAACGAAAGAAAAGATTATATAAAACTTTTCTATCTCTAAACACAATAATCCAATTTCATAACATACCGTTTTCTTGAGAAAAACACCGAGTATGTCACTATGCTCACACTTGATAGGTGTCTCAGAGCCGACAATTCCTGATACTGCTATGATCAAAGGAAACACCTTGCTCTCTACCAATTGTTCTGAAGAAAACAGAAAGATCTCAAACACATAACCAAAACCCATCAACCTCAAATTGAAATGCAACTGTCTCAAGGAACATACCCAAATCCTTGAGGTGGTTAACCCTAGTGATTGATTTGACAACTCTGTCACACGAAATAGGAGAGAAAGAACATTATCACCGAACACAAGTGAACGTAAATAGTAAAGACAACAAGAAAAACCCTAACCCGCCTGTGTTCCGGCTGAGAAGATAAAGAGCGATGCCGCCTAAACAACACGTAAATCCAGCCAAATGTATCATCTTTTTCTAACTGATTCCTTCACGAAAATCACTATTTGTCGGCACTTTGCTTCTTTCGCTGAGAAATCAGAAACCGATCAAAATTTTCAGTCAGAGAGAAAAAGTGAAGTCCAATGATGGAGACGATCGTCAGTCGCCAAAATAGGGATTTATTGTTTTAATCCCTAAACCTTTCAAACAACTGTTACAGTTTGTCCCTGATGAAGACGATCTTGTCTTCGTCTCCGACAGACATGCGGCCATATATGCTGGACTAAGGACAGTGTATCCACTTGCAAAGCACGCTTGCTGCACTGTGCATTTATTTAGGAACGTTGTCCACCATTTCAAGTGTGAGGGACTTGCTAAAATGGTATCCAATGCGACTAGATCTTACACTGTGGGAGATTTGCGATATTGGTTTGAAGAAATTCAGAAAAGAGACATCAATTGTGCCAATTATTTGGTAGAGATAGGAATATCTCATTGGACACTTGTGTACTTCCCGGGAATGCGATACAATGTGATGAGCAGCAATATCTCGGAGTCCCTAAATGCTGCAATGCAAAAAGCCATAGATTTCCCGATAGTGACGATGGTAGAATTCATTAGGACTATGTTAATGCGTTGGTTTTACGAGAGAAGAGAAGCTGCAACTAGAACGAGGACAAGATGTACGCCAGAGATCGAGGAAATGCTAATAGATCACCTGAAATTAGCGACAGATTGTGCTGTCATAGCAGCAAGTGAATGGATTTATCAAGTAAACGACGGTTTTGGTATCGTTTTCACTGTGGATCTAGAGAAAAAAACATGTACTTGCAGAGTATTTGATGTGCTAATGGTGCCGTGTTGTCACGCTTTAGCCGCGGTGGGGATAAGGAACGTGGACATTTACTCCCTGATCGGGAACTATGCATTCGTGACGGAGTAGCGTAAGCTTTGGCGTGCCCATATTCTACCTCCGCCTAAGGAAAAAGACACGGAGGTCCCAAACGTAGTTAGTGAAATGGTTGTGAATCCACCAAAAACAAGAAGACCAGGCGGAAGACCAAAGACAGTACGCATACCATCGCGGGGAGAGTATCAGGTAACAAATTAAGAGTCTTAAATGAGTTTTGTCCTTCAACACAAAATAATTAATTGTGTCCATGTATGTGTTGCAGGGCAAAGGAGGGAAGAAAAAAAAACCTAACAAATGCACCACATGTGGGAAGGATGGCCACAACAGAGCAACTTGCAAAAATCCTATCTAAGTTTTAGGGAATAATACTTTGGCGGCTTTTGGTCCATGAAGTATTGCGGAAAAGAGGGTTTATCGTTACGTTGGTTGGATAGGCCACGGGAAATTTGTTTAGTCCATGGCTTAACATCCAATTTTTTAGTCCATGGCTTAACACGGAAAGTATAACTAATATATATTTATCTTTTGGTAATTGAATGTAGTATGACATGTATGGGTATCTTTTGGCAAGCACATCTCACAACTTATCGAACAAAAACTATATATATTTATCATATACATCTTCGCGGAAGACAAAAATATATGGGAGACCATATAAAGGAAAAACAAACAAATCATAAGACCCACCAATTAACACAGAGAGGACAGGGGTTCCAAACATTACAGTTGGAACATTCTGAATATCGACGAGGGGGATGGATCAAGTAGTACGTATAGCCAGTCCAGTTGAATCTAAGTTGGGTTGGGGCAATCTTCTTAATATCGGATATCACAAGCTTGGCCACACGATCAGCGTTGCGAGAAGAGACAACTTCTTGTTTGAATAGATTCATGGCGATGATCGCATTCTTAGGTCTATTAATAGAGACAAGGTAGAGACCCTTGGTGAAAAGAATTTTGTCGGATGGATCGGGTATATGAGCGAGCATGTCCATTGCTTCTTTGATTAAACCTTCAACTGCAGCGAGCCTAATGCTCTCTAAGTAACAAGCAGCAGGATTTCCAGCCTTTACACATCGTAAAACAAAGAAGTAAACGGGTGAACCGATGAAAACATTTTGAGGATGCGCTTCAAGGAGAGCCAGAGAAGTCTCCCGCAAAACAGAAGGATCAAGTGCGAGACGCATGCCAGCGTTCCCAGAGAGAATAAGGGGACCTAAGTGTCGGTAACATGACTTACCAACAAGAAGGACAATCGATACTCTAAGATGTTTGGGAAGCTTTTGCCACAAAAACATATCAAGGAATTGGAATTAGGAATGGTTTAGCACAATGAATGTCGTTACTTACCTATATATAGATGGGATTACTAATTAATGGTTGGGGACAATGAATGCTGCTGTTAGAGATTTTGAATTAGTAGTTGGGGACAATGAATGTGGAAAAGTAAATACTAATTAAAGTGACAAGACCTATCTCATTACTAGGTGACTAACTATTCTAAGGGATAACTGTTTAGCAGTTTCGTATTGCATTGGGGGACGTGAATATACAATTTACGGTAGCTTGTCGGCATAGAAATAAGTAGATCTGGGGCGAGATATCTTGATACTTCATATTTTTACAATATATATAAGTTGTAGAATTGAGTCGAAGCTTGGAAGCGTCTCAGGTACAATAATCGCGTGTAAGCAAAAACACGTTTGGAGGACACGAACGTCTCTAAGTGATAGCTTCATATCTTAAATATAGATAACTTGTAGAATTCGGGCTACAATAAAAGAGGGACGAACATTACACGATAGTCCCCAGTAGACAACATGATATAAAAAATGGGGGACATAATAGCCGAAGGATGAAAAAAGAGCTATTAAAGCTACATATAAGTGCCAAGCACGAACGCGGCTACGGGGACAATAATCGCAAGGACGAGAACGATGATTTTAGGACACGAACGAGCGACGTCGACAATGGAACGAGGGGAGCGTTGCAAAAGACATAAATTCTGCTGAAGCAATTTAATGTCTTCCTGGTAAAGGTCCAGACGATCGCACATCAAGGCAAGATCCATGTGCTCCCCGTTAGGGGCGGTAAGTAGGAACTTAAGGTGTTCTTCTTGTTCCCTAATAGAGCACTTAACCGCTGAAATCTCGTCCATAAATGCCTCGTCCAACCATTTAACAAGATGGCGCCCAGGTCGGTCCTTAATACAAACATAGCAAATGTAACTATAGTACATCGAATTATTGAATATAGTAAGAGTGGGATTTAAACTTACATCTCTCTTCTCGCACTGATAAAACTGCCTGCCAGGGTTGTCCTCGGAGAGTGAATTCGCAAGTACGACCGTCCCTCCGCAGTAACAGTGACGAGGTATACCAAGATTTTCAAAAGACATTGGCCCGGGATAAACAGGTCCATAAGAACTAAGAGATTCTCGGGATGAATCCAATGACTGGCTATAACTATGGAGGCCCATGGTCCGTGGGAAACAATTAGATGGTAGAAATTATGGAGTAGGCTGGGGGAGTTTGAGAGAAAGGGGATAATTGTGTAGATGAAGAGATCATTAATGTGGAGAGATAAATAGAGACTGATGCCCAAAAATCTTGAAAAGAATATAATATAAATTTATTAAGCAAAAAGTTACCTTTTCGCTGATGTGATGACACAGAAGGAAAATCATGGGGAAGCGTAACGGGTTAGGGGAGAGAATAGTGGAGAGCAACTGGCTTCTACTGTTGTTATTGGGTATCTAAACGTTGACTTGTTTGTAAAAATTGCCTATCCAAAATTGCGACAGGGACAACATAATATAGAATATTTTACGAGACAGGATCTCTGTTTGCGGAGGACAACCTAAATATCCAAGTAGTTCCTAAATAGATAGCAGTTTAAAAATATTTAGTTCCTAAGCATCCAAGTAGCATCCAAGAAGAAAACAAAGAAGAGTAAATAATTATTACAAAAAGACATAAGTTCTTAAGCAGAAATATTGAAAGGGGCATCACAGCCGGAGAGGCTGAACAAACTCCTCGAAGATGTCGACAGCAAATCTCATCCTGATATTCTCCACAAGTTCTTCAGTTATGCTGTCGTGACTAATGTTTTGGAAATGAAGCTCAATGTACTTCATAGAGAGCGGGCCACTGTCGTCTTCATGTTCGCTTTGAAAGATCTCAGGGAGACGATCAAAGGCGAACTCAGGGGGAACTTGATGATTGCAGAGAACATCTTGGGGGACAAGTGATTTGATGATAAAAGGAAGCAACACAACGAGAGGTTTCATGAGCACGCCCATCTGTTTGTCGGTTTTGGCAGCCACGTTAGGGTCAAGAACACCTATGGTACCCTCTTTCAGATCTATGACAAGCGCAGCCCAGTGGCCCCCAGACAGATGTAAAGGCGCGTACAGAGTGTCGACATCAGAAAACCAAGCCTGTCTCGTGAATCGGCCAGGGACTATACCCCTGACGTAGTCCCGTATCTTACTGTTCCACGGCCACTCAGATTTACTTTTGGACTTCTTGAAACGAGAATAGAGTTCGCTAAGGGTAATCGAAAACCATGAATCAAGTATGGCAGACCTACTCTGGACCAAAGTATCCCCAAACCTCCGAGCCAACAGGCTTAGCATGGCATCGATGTGCTGGATTGTATAGAGGACAATAATTAATTTAAGGGACATGATATTATAAAATGCAGGTATCATTGGTTTACAACGTACCTCTTGGTGGATAGAATGGTGAGGAGTAAGCATGTCCTTAAAAAATGATCTGGGGACAACATGTGCATCGAGGACGAACTCCCTGACCATTAATGGAAAATAGTAATTTAAAGGTTGGGGAAAAAGAAGTAAGTAATGAATTCAATAAGAAACTGAATTACCTCTGGCGATAAGATTTGAGAGTGGACAAGAAATGTTTCCGAAGATCATCATTTACTAGGACAAACAGGTGCAAAACCTCATCAGTTGATTGGGAAACACTATTGGTCCCTGTGGATTCTTGTCCCTGGACTGGAATAGGGTCACGGAAACGGTGGGGTTTATTCCTTGCCCTTTTGGGAGGGAGGATCGGCTTAGAAGAATCCCCGCCAAGAGAAGAAGATTTTCTCTTTTTCCCAGAGGGACTTTTTTCTGAAATTGCCACACCACCAGTAGCATTTCCCTATAAAAAAAAGGTATTTTAGGGAAAGGGACAAACAGAACCACAATTAAAATGCTGAAAATTTATGAGATACCTCTTGATCGTCAACCAGTTGTTCATCAGCACCTCTTGAGGATTTAAAAAGCTCTGGCGGCCATGCTTTGTTTGCCTAGATGAATGGGCACGACAGGTTAGGGATAAGAAATTAGAATTTGCGTTTTAGTTATTACAGAAATAAGTATTATACCTCGTCCATAGCTTCATCTTGGTGATCCTCGTCTTCAGACCTTCCTTCACTATCACCACTACTCTCGTCACCCTCTTTGGGTTCATGGTCCCTAGAAACAGACTTATCCTCTAAAACCTCAGTCTCAACATCGTCCCCGGAGACATCAACAGACTTTTCAATTACTTCTTCTCTTCTGTCCTCGCACTCAACAACATCAACGTGCTCAGACACACCAACAGACTTATTCTCTATAGCTTCCCTTCTCTCCTCACCAACAAATCCCACGTCCTCAGACACACCAAAAGAATTTCCACCAGCAACCTGTTATAGTTGATTAGAAGAGAGGATCATATCCATGGAAAGACACAAGTATCCACGTTGAAACAGAAACAAACCTGCTCTGTATCTTGATCGTCCTCTGATTCATCAGCCGAACTGATCTCCTCTACATCTTGATGAGGCGTTTGGAAGTCGTTGGGCTAAAAGTAAAGAGAATTAAAAGTAAAAAAGGATTAGAAAAACAAAAAACTCCACCACATAAGAAAACAAATAATGACTTTAGTTAAACTTACGTTGTGATCTTCAGGAAAATTCTCTTTAACAGACTTTCCAACCAGGACCTGTGTAAAATGGTTTAGGAACCATTTCCAGAAAGAGGTAGACAAAAAAAAAATGTAATATACAAACCTCATCTGCAACTTCTTCGTCTTCGGATTCCTCTGCGTTGTCCTCACTAATGGTTGGCAATGGAGTTTGGAAGTCTTTTGGCTGAATAATATGTAAGAAACAGAGGTTATTCAACGTCAAAACAATAGAGAAGGACCAGAAGCAACAAGGAAACTTACGTTGTGATCAATAGAGAACTTCGAGGAAGAAGGACCAGAAGGAGATGGATGAATGGTAGAAGGACCAGAAGCAACAAGACCAGGAGAAGGTCCAAACGGACCAGACTTAGCAGGACCAGAGGGAGATGCATAAGACTGGTTGAGGTTTTGTAAAACATCAGACACTCCTCCGTACTCAGACCAGGCTTGCCGCTGAAACTCCTCCAAAAGTTGAGAATTACTTTTCCCCTTAGACGGCGATTGAGGAGAACTTGGGGCGGGAGGGTCTATCTGGACATGGGGGGAATCAGAGGTCTGCCTACTAGGGACCTTGTTGATATTTATATTTTCTGGGGGACCATGCGTTTGTCCCTCAGTAACAGCGTTTGTTAATGGGACATCTGTGTGTCCCCCGGACTCCTTGTTTACATTTGCATTATTAGGGGGACCATAGGTTTGTCCCTCAGATGGTTTTTTTTTACCTGGTGAAGCAGCTTTCGGAGGGGGGGTTGTTGGAAACTTCCCACCATGGCGCAGATTGCTAATAATCTCGTCTAAGAGTTCGTCTTTCAATAAAGACTTCTCTACTCCATACATCCGACAAACTTCACCCATCAATTCAACCTTCAATTCCTCTTTCATGTCACGGAACTTCGAATTAACTTCTTCCATGATCAGAGCATGGAGAACATCTTTACCTTCAGTCCCTGCTGGGGGACAAAAGTCTTCATCGACCTTCCCTTTACCTTTTGATGAACCAGATGGACCACCCTGGGGAAACTCAGGCATGTCAGAGTTTCTATTTGGACGTCTCACAGGTACCTTCTTGGTCTTGCGAACATTGGGTTCTTTGGGGTTCTCATCAACGACTATCTTTGGCCAAGTACGACACCCACCAATCCAGTCAGCTTGGCAGAACTTGTATCCGCCACCAATAAGGCTTTCCATATAGTCAATCGCCGGGTCAGAGACTTCATCAGGCCAATCGTTGATCGATGGGTGTGGGGGATCATCAGTAGACAACAGCGGGGCAATACTTAACTACATTGAATTCAATAATTAATTAGTAAACACTTGGGTACTAGGGTAAAAAAATAATAATGTTCACGAGAAGGACAAAAATAATAATTACCCCAGGAATTAGCTCTGTTTCCATTATGTTGGAATTGTGAAAAGTCTTCAACGGAGGCAAAGTAGTGATTGACCCATCAATGATAGTCTGCGTATCATCAGGTTGATTAAGGTATCTCTCAAAAACTGGGATGGCCTTTAACATCAACAGTTGGAAGACAAGAGGGAACCCATGGGTTGAAGAGTGAGACTGGTTGAACTTCGCAATTAGGGCAGAGAGACTGTTAACCTTCTGACTGACCTTAACCATTCGCATTGTCAGAAGGAATGATTCTCGTCCCCATGGAAACGCTTCAAACGACTCCAAATGCTGAACCATTTCGACAACTTGAAGAGAAGCTCTCACAGGTTGGGAACTGCAAAGCAATACCCCTTCAACGATCACGATAAGAGCGAGACGAAGCCTTCTCCAGTCATCCATCTTCTCTTTCTTGGGCTTCATCTTGTCTTTCCTCAGCCAGTCAACAATGTCCTTGATGAGGACACCCGGGTGGTCCTCGCCTATGAGAATATTCCAGTACGGATGTTTTTTGGTACATTCTCTCTGCGACTTCAATACATCTGCCGGTGGAGAATACGGCCGACAATCCAGACCAGTGAGAATGGCAAATTCTCTTAACGAAAAACGGAATGGCTGACCGACAAAAATAAACCATAGCTCGTGTTTTTTCCTTGTGTAGACGCCTCTACACAACATCTGATGTACTAATTTGCCGGAAAACAAACATTTGCGAACAGGAAGCTGAAACAGCGGGCCAAAGCATGAGGCGCGTAGATAATTTAACTCTTTCGTCCCTTCTAGGATTTCGACGAGATCGAGCAGATACTCCGGCTTTGAATAAGCATTAATACGTCCGAGAGGCGGATAGCAGTCAGTGGCGTAGAGCCTTTTCGGAAGTTTGTCCCTGTTTACTACCGGGATCTCTGGTCGCGGCTGATATGGAGAATTTGAGTGGGTCGCGGTTGACTTGGCGGAGACAAAAGGGTCGTCGTCGTCTTCAAAGGAAACCGGGCGCCTGGAACTGCCAAGCGGAGACTTTTGTTTCAATTTACTCGAGGAGGACTTCATCTGCGGCGGAGGAGAGAAAACAGGAGAAAAAATTAAGAATTTCTTTGAAAATCGAACAGTGGAAAAGGAGCATGCAGATGGACAGAAACCCTAGAAATTGGGGACGAAACGATTAAATCAAATTAGATGACTACGAACCAATAATTAGATGACTACAAACTAACTTGTGATTAATCAAGTATGAGGGACAAAATCGAGTGTCAGTTACATTCAAAGAATCTGCCGAAAATGGTTTCCCGTAACTAACTTCCGATGAGAGGAGAAGGAGAAGAAAGAGAAAGGGAAAGTGAATGAGAGACGAAAGCGGTTACACTTCTCACAGGGGAGAGAAGTTTGTGGGGTGTAATTTTGCACGGGTCTCGAGGGTTAATAGGGAAACGAGAAGGTGTGAATGTCAACTCGTTGCCAGGCGCAGGCGGGAAAACTGCCATCAACTGTGAGGGCAAAATTGACAATTCACAGACAAATGTGGTATGAGTTGAAAGATGGAGAAGAATGTGGTAGATCTTGAAACAAATTGGGGAAATGTGGTAGATCTTGTAATTTTTTTCTTAATTAAACCCAATTTCTTTTTGTTTAAATATTAAAATACTAAGTAATGCAGAAATAGTGTTTTTTTTTTTTTGGTAAGAATGCAGAAATAGTGTTTGACTAATATATTTGATTGTTCTTAATTTGTTCCCAAAAAACACGATTTCGGAAAGGAGTCCTAATTGAGAAAGTAATTTAACTCTTTTTTTTTTTTTAATTTTAGATTTTTTTAAATAACATTTTCCTCTAAAATACTAATTAATTAATCAAACGATCTTTTGATTCTCTTTTTAAAAATTGACAAACAAGTAATTAAATACCAAGTATACAATTTATTTCAAATCGTGAATGTTATTAAATATTTTCAAACAAATATGTAATTGTCAAACTAATATCGTGAATCGTGAATGTTTCAAAAAAATAATTTTTTGGGCAAAAGTTATTAAATGTGTAAGATACAATATTTTCAAATAAAGAAAAGTTCAATTGTAATTAAAGCGTGATTTTAAAAATTTCTTTGAGACAAGTAAATATTGTTATATCAAAATTCAAAAAGTAAGTTTTAAAGACAAAACCGTAAAGTATATTAATATTACCATCAATCAAAGAAAAAGTGAAAAGGAAAATTCCCTTTTTTCTTAAACCAAATTGGAGTGAAAAAAAGGAAACTAAAACTATCAACTTCTCTATATAAACAAATAAATTGAAGCAAAAGACGTAAAAAAGAGAAGATTAAACTCATAAAAATTGTTATCTCTTTCTCTTTGACGGCAAAACAATGGAGAGTGACCACCAGAGAAAACTGGTCTCATCTTTCCTCGAGATCGCTGTAGATCAAACCGTGGAAACCGCTATAAAGTGCCTAAACGCAACAAATTGGAAGGTTGAAGAAGCCATTAATCTCTTCTTTCTCATCGACAGAAGAAACCAATCTTCGACACAAAAACCTTCTGATTCTTCTACTAAATTGTCTTCCTTGTACCGTCCTTCTCTAAATCTGCTTTTCAACGGTTCGTTTGAAGACGCGAAAGCAACTTCCTCTAGCGAAGATCTGTGGTTGCTTGTTCACATCCAATCCAAAACTGAGTTGCCTTGTAATACACTTAACCGAGATTTATGGTCAAACGACGACGTTTCTCAAGCCCTTGAGTTTAGGTTTATGTTATGGCAAGTTTATGATCATACCAAGGAAGGAAGAAAAATCTCTAGTTTCTATAAGATCGACTCTGCTCCTCCTGTGGTGCTTCTCATTGTTCCCATTACTGGTAAGAAGATGCATACATGGAGCGGCGAGATTAAAGCTCAGAGTTTTCTTGAGGATTTGAAGAAGTATATTGATGCTACTCCTCACGAATACTTTGCTTCTATGGCAAGGAACATGCGCGTAAAAACAAAAAAGATTTGCCATCTTGATCGAGACATGGCTACTTTTATGGAAGATGACTTTGACGATTTTGATGAGTCAGTAGATGAAAGGTCTTTAAACTCATACATAAGGGAGGTGAATTCTCCGTCAGATCGCGTCGTGGTTTCTTCTTCCGGGCAAGAATTTGAAGATGTAATAATGACTTTATCCGAACATGAGGAGGAAACTTGTTTGTCAAGCAACATGTTTAAGTTCCCGGTTTTGACAGAAGAGCCTAAAGGAGACTGTGATCGAAGTGTTGTCTGCAGTATCAGCGTTCAATTTCCAAATGGGAGAAGAAAGCAGAGAAAGTTTCTTAAGAGTGAACCGATTCAGCTTCTCTGGTCTTTCTGTTATTCTCACATGGAGGAATCAGAGAAGAAGGCGTTCAAGCTAGTGCAAGCGATTCCTGGTGCTTCCAAGACTCTGCATTATGGAGCTAAGGCCACGTTTGATCAATCTGGGATCGCTAATTCGATCATTTCGGTTACTTGGGAGTGAAGATTGCGACATGTTGTTCCTTTTTTACATCTTCTTGAAATGATGCTGAAGTCGAATATTCTTGTAACTAATTCTAACTTTTTGTGTTGTTGGTTAATTCGAAAATCAAGTTCAAATAGACAATTCTCACAACACAGATCACTTAAACTCCAAGTCCAAAGTTGCAACTTAATATATAGGTTCTTCACTTTTTAATCAACATTAGCGAATCCAGTGATAAATTAAACAGACAAATTCAATAAACTTAACTGTTTTTGCTACGGAGCTTTTGAGTTTTGAGTGGTTAGTTTCTGCATTTTGGACTTGATTTCACTGTGAAAAGACACAAAAGATTTGTGCCTGGTAGCGAAAGCAATGCTGATGTGCTTAATCTCTTCCTCCATATCTTTCCTCCGCTTCACTTCCACATTAAGATCTTTCAAAGCATTCTCTTTATCACTTGCAATCACTCTCAATCTCTGAGTGGATTGAGAGATTTTTCTATCTAAAGAATCTCTTTCTTCCTTCAGGAACTGTACCTCTTTTAACAGCTTCTCATGGCTTTCTCTTGAAGCTTCTAGAAGTTGTTTATCCGAAAACAACTCTTTCTCGAGCTCTTTGTATCTTTCCTTGATGATGCTGAGCTCAGACTTCAGTTTCCTCTCCTCTAAAGCAGCTGTTTCTTGTCCCTTTAAAATCACATTCAAAACCTGTCTTAGAGAAAGGAGAAATAGTAGTCTGACCACAACATCTAACTAACCAAACATTAATTCAGTTCCTGCTTTTTCCTGGCAACATTGTATAAGAAAGAATGTGTTTTGCTCAAATGAGCCACTCAATCTTGCATGTCTGGTTTGACTTTTAATTTCTTAAATGACAACTTAGATTGATGAGAATTTTTATGCCGAAGACAAAGGAAAATGAAACACTTAATAACTTATGATACGAATTCGACGCTTTGGCTTAGTATGCAACAAACTCTTCTTGCTATTTATTTGTAGATTACCAGGAAAAAAACGTAAAAATAACGCCATTTATTAGATTTATTTGCAGTTCAACATATTCAGAGATTTCACTGGACTAAAGTCCTAACAAGAGAGACAAAGTATCCTAACAAAACTACTAAAAAGATTAATAAAATTGATCCATATCTTGACAATAGTGGCAAGGAAGCTACCTTGTTGTGGCAGTTAAGAAATTCATCTTTTGCTTGTGCGTCTGACAGCAACGACCTGGTTGTGTTCTTCAGACTCTCACGAAGTGTTTCCCATTGGTCAGAGAAAGGATGATCTATGCTACTACCCGTTTTCTGACCATCCATTATCATTGAGAATTGTGTTTCTAGAGTTGACAGTAGGCTCGTTGTGATTTCAGTTGAACCCAAGAGCAGGTTCGCCGTTGGAGATTCCTTGTCAGCAATTAAGCTCTATCAAATTGCAAGAGAAAACACTTGTGAACTCATATTTCCTTCTATTAATATCTCAAAATAAAAATCACACAAGAAAAAGTAAGCTTTTCACCTTCATTGTGCCTATAACATCCTTGTAGACATCCTTGCAGTTAGCAACTGACTCAGATAACCTATTCGGAATTTCTTTCATGGTAAGCGTTTCTTGTTTGAGCTCAGACATCTCTTGCATCAGTTTGTTGCTCAGAAGTACTTGTTCGTTGAATTTTACCTGGCAGTACATAATTGATGCATAAATGATCATTAAAACTCCAATTCAGTTGTGGTTTCCAGCTTATCAAGTGCACTTTTAAAAATTAAGAAGATAACAAAGGAAGTAGGTAAAAGTAAAAACAGATATATCTTTCTTTTAGTTTCAGGAATTCTTGATAAAAAGTTCAATTTCTGCTCAGAGCTACATCAGAGAGCTATCCAACTAATATTGAAAGAGGATTTTCACTTAAAACAATCAACAAACCAAAAAGACTAACCTGAAGACTGTCCTTATCATTGGTCAGCAACTCAATCTGACTTTTGAGATCTTCCACCTCTATGTAATTTTCACGAGGGCATTCCTAAAATGAAAGTTAAGGAACAGTAACGGCCACCTTGGGGCACATGTTTTAGGTGCTGAAATCACCAGTGTTATTGAAAACTATACTAGCAGCATAACTTGGCATAGTGTTTCAGTTTTTGTCTATATGAAGTTTCAAATGATTCTCAACATACATGAGCTAGATACCAGCCAGGTTCTGATAAACCAGAATGTTTGAATGCAAGCTGATATGAAAATGAAAAGGAAAAGAAACACAGAGTCTAGAACCATGAAGAAAAGGGGATGGAGAGTTGGTTTGACCATATGCATCAAGAAGTCTCCATTCTGATTTTGTGAGCTTTTCATGCGCAAATAATTTTCAATATTGGAAGATAATAGGAGTAAAGTAAATATATCTACTCACCGTGGTTGCAATACTTAACGGAGTGGGTTGACATTTAACAGCAGGTGTAAACTGGATTTGATCAAGGTCAGCAACAAAACCCTTGTTTAGTTTCATCCAAGTGTCTTCATCGGCCACGCCCCCCAGGGAATAAACCATCGGACTAAAATCAGATAGTCCTGAATAATTATTTGACCGAGCAACCACAAAGGAACGGGAAGCTGATTTAAAGCAAGGGGTTCCAGGAACATTGCTGATATCATTGATATTGCATAGCCCATCTGGAGTCTTTCTTGAAATGATAAAGTCCTGCCAATAAAGAAATTACATTGATGGATTTTTACGTAACCATGAACATGTCTAACAAAACTAATGAGATGTTACAAATTTGCTATCTTTGATTCATTCTACATCGTATTTTCACTTGAATTTAACTAAAGCCTATTTTTCTTTTAAGGTTATGTTTACTTCAGCAAAATGTGTTAGTAATGGTTGAGGAACATCACACAGAAGTAACAATCCAAGAAAAGCAAGACATCGCCTAAGCCAATGAATGCATTCGTACCTCTGACTGGTTCCTCTTGAAGTCAGAATTAGTGACCAGATTGTTAAGGTTCTCAATTTTCATCTGCTGTTCCTTGATGCAATTTTCCTGCTCCTTCTGCTTCCTTCTCTCTTCTTCCAGTTGTGTTTTTAGCCTTTCACATTCCAACTCATACTGGAATTCAAACAAAAGTGTAGCTGTTTTGTATAATGTGTCTGGTTAATGTTATATTCAATGTATACACTAGGAAAAGCACAAAAAAGCTACCTTCAGCATCTGATTGCTTAATTTTAAGATCTCTTGTTCCAACACTTCGGCATGAGATCCCTACAAACATCACCGATGTTGGTATTGTCTCCTTTCCACTATGTAATTGAAATAAAAAAGTGACTATACCTGAAGCTTCATGCGTAGCTCTTCTATCTCTAACTTTTGGCGCTTCAATAAAGCGGCATCGGTCAAGATCTGCAGCATTTAAACATTGTCTGATTATATTCCGATAAAGAGGAGGAAATCCAGTCAACAGTACACATGTAGGCAGTGATCCTTCTTAATGGGAAAAAACAATATAGAGAAGTAACATCTAAAAACGAGAGTAACAAATATCTCCAAATAATCAAAAGAAGTTTAAATGCTTTAAAATTTAAATGCAGACCTCATTCACTTGAGCACAGTTGGTGATGCGCTTTGCTCTGCTTGCAAATTGGAGAGTTCCTTTCGATTCCTCAATATGATGCTACATACATCAGCATGTTAAGACCATGAAAATGCGAAATCTGACACAAGGTAACTTATTTTACCTCTTCTGGTGCGATAGTGCATATAATGCAGGTCTTTGCATTACCACCAAGTGCAGGCTGAAGAATTCGAGTCAGCTTACTATCTCGGTACGGAATATGTGCCCTATAATAAGAAATGTTAAGAAATGAGCTGAGCTGTATTGTTGTTAAGTGTAAACCAAATCAAAGGTAAGAAAGTACCTTAGCTTTGCACTGTCACTTAGTTTATTAATGACATTACCAAGAATCATTAAGCTCTTATTAATGTACTTCCCTTCTTGCAAGCGTACTCCACCAGCACCAGTTTTAGCAATTCGCTCAGATCCAGCCAAGTCAACCAAATTCTAGGTTCCATTGAAAGAACACCCATAGAAAACAATTAGCTTGTACATTATGTAACTTTCACAAGAAACTTTTGAAAGATGTTACCGGAGTGAAAATTATCACTCACCAAGACTGAGACACGGATAGCATCTGAAGAAGTATTATCTTTTCCCCTGCTCTCAATCACCTACCCACCAGAGAGATTGTATCAGATTAAGAACTTTACAAAGTAGAAGATTTCGTTCATAGCTTCTGAATCGTACCATTCTGAAGATGGTGTGAGACCTGCTACTATGAACATTCATGTTTGTCTCGCCAAAGTGCCTATTAACTGTTAATTGAAAAAGACCAAGTCAATACACATTGGACATAAAAAAAATGCAGGAAAACAAGTACTTCTTAGTAAAGCTTTGGCTTTAAAACCTTCTCCAGAATCTATAAGCTTTAGAATCTGTTCAGCGTCACTAACAATTTCTTCCTTAAGCCCAGCAACAAACACTCCACGCTATACATCAAGAGAAAGCAAGTGGATTTAATCACTTTTAAACAAACTAATGAAGAAAATATCACTAATGAAAATGATCCAAACCAACCTCCAAATGTTCATGAATCTGCAGTCTCTGATTCTCAACAGCTAAAAGATCATTAATTTCTTCGTTGTAAATTTCCATGTACGAAACCCGGATGAGAAACTCGCGATCAGATATCTAAGAAGGAAGAAACATGAAACACACAACTCAAAAGTTGTAATCTTTACTTTACTTCATGAATCATTTGACAAATATAATGCCTACCATATGAATTCTTTCAAACACATCTCTAACAGATCTTCGAATAATTCCAGGATCAGTTTCAGAACCCGTCATCGTAAACGTCTTTCCACTACTAGTTTGCCCATAAGCAAATGCAGTACCTGACAAAAATCAGAGTAGCTCCATAAAATCAAAAACTCTGAAAAAAAACATAAAATTAATCTCACGTTTATTCGGATTCGGATCTGATTTAGATTACCATTAAACCCCTCGACGGCGGCATGAATAATATCCTTAGTAAGAAGTTCATAGACACTAGCATTCGTAGAACTTTCGTCGAACACATGATCTGCACACAAAAAAAAAAAAAAACGAAACACCACCAAAATTAAAAAAGAAGAAACTTTCGATTTCACTCAGATCCATAGAAATTGATTGAGAAGAAAGGAGAAGAATTTACCGAAAGCGTAAGAAGCGGTTGTGATTGGAGTGTCGAGTGATTTATGAAGAGAGATCCGATTATCTTCAACTTTCCAGAGAGAAGATCCGTTTTCCGGTGATAATTCCGGCGCCGGTGGTCTTACCCTGACTGCGACACAGATCTTTTCCATCTTCGTCTTCGATCTGAAAGTGCCGTTTGAAATTTGAATCTCAGAATCCCACTCAAAGGGAGCCTTTAAGCTTTTGAATGCAACTCAAATTTACAGTAATACCCTTTTTTCTCTTTTTGACCAGTCAATTGACATTCACATGGATGTTATACCAAACCAAAACCAAATGAACCAAATCAAATTAAACCGATCTCATTTCAAACCAGCTGGTGATAGTATTTTTAAAACACCAATCGAAAATGAATCGAAATCGATTTTAATTTAATCAAAGAAAACAAAGAATATTTAAAATGTTATTTATATATATTTTTAACAAGAAAAGTTTTATATTTGTTTTTACATGTTAAATTTTAAATTTTATAAATATTGTTTAGATAAATTTTTGCCCTCTATGGATCTGTCATTGGATCCAAATAATTTAGATATACAATTCAACCAATTACTTACTAAATCACGCCGAACACGGTAAAAATGACTCGAGCCAAAATAAAAAGTAGTCTTTAATGTTTAATTTGTCTATAATTTTTGTGAGCACATTATGATAAAATCGGTGATGAAACTAAATTTCGAGATCAATGAAAGGCTATAAGTCTAAAGAGTGAATCAAGAGGGAAACAAGTGTTTGAATCATATTCAATAGAATGATACTAAAAGGTCCCTCGAGTTCTCGGGAAGTCTTCGTGTTGCATTTTTTTTTTAATTTTTTCTTTCTTTTTATTAAATCGTATGATATATTACGTTCGGAATGTAATAACTTTTAGACCGTGAAGACAAACTCTACATAAAATAGTTTTTCCGAAAGCCCAAAAAAAGCCATCCGACATAGCAATGGTTTTGTACCATTGACCCGTTTTCGACCTCATATTTTGACGTTTAGGGACTTTTCCTAATTTTTTTGTATCTCTATTCCGTTATGTTTTGACTTCGATACAAAAAGTTAATGGATCTGTCACTACTAACTAGGTTAAAGTTGGTAGAATGTGTATCACGTACGATACACGTGCAGGGCTTTATGATGATGATCTTCATGCGAGTTATTGTTAAATGAAAATATCTTGAGCTTCTCTTTTCGTTCTTGTGGTTTCTTCTCATTTGTAACTGTTCTCTTATTGAATTAGTTAAAGAGGTCAGGTCAGTCTTTAGTCACAAAGCTTCAAATAGTTTTTATTTTGTCCCAATTCAAATAGTGGTGGAAGGCCATGGAACCACCATAGATGATAGATCTGACACCATTAGGGAAATACAACTTTTTCACCCAATAATATAAAAAATTAAAGAGACAAAACCCATTTGAACGAGGACAAGACAAAGTAGGTGATCTGATGATTTCGGTTTGGTTAAATTTTCTTAGAAACTTTTTTGAATTTTATCAAAAAAAATATATACTGTAACTACGTACAAAATGGTTTGATTTATGACTTTCAATTTGGTTTTAATTATTTGATTAATTAATTCAGTTGGTTCAATTAATTTTGAGATTAAATTTCCAACTTCATAATACATTCTCAACTATGAGTTTGGTAGATGAATATGTAGTAGAAGTTAAATTTGGAATGTGTTTTTTTTTTTTCAGAAGTTTGATAGTATTCCATAAAACTTTGGACATGACTGTAGTATGCGAGTAAAACAGTTTAATAACTCAATTATCAAATGGTAAAATAGTAAAATCTTTTTTAGCTCAACATAAAACTGGTTTTTAAAATGTTTTTCTATAGCCGAATTATTTTCAAATAATTTTAAAAGAAAATAATTGATGAATAATATAAAATACCGAAATGATATTTTGAAAATGTGAAAACGTAAACGAAAATTGTATGCCATTTGTTTTGATTAAAAATAAAAATCTCTATACTATTAAAAGAGAAGTACAAATGTACTTGGGTCGGGTTATTAAAAAAAAATTAAGGGTAAATAACCCGGAATTAAGCTAATCGGATCTTCCTCATTTAAAAGGAAACATCTTGCGTCAATAATTACAAAATAAAACACGAAAATCTAATAGTAATTGTAACGCGAAAGTAGTTTGCTCAAAACATGGCTTATGTGGCAAACAAGTTAAATGACGCTCTATGGATATTCTTCGAAATCAAATTTTATCAAATTTTATTCTTTAATTTATTTCCATCAACAATATACCAAACGTAATTGCGGGAATAAGATTATGCAAAACATATCTTCAAGATCTTATTTAGCTTTTATACGTCCCAAAATTCCTCAAATCTCGCCCACAATATATTAATTACTTTATTTTGTATTCGAATCAGAGAAATACTTATTACGATAATTATTGATATTGCTAAGATCATATATTATGTTAAGATTTGAATTCCTTTTTAAAGACTTATCAAATAAAAAACATTTGCAAATCACGGTGACAATTATACTTTCCCATAACAAATTCCGAAAACCCTACTATTCTTAATCTATGCGTAACCAATATAAATATAGGATCAAACCATCTCTTCCTTGATTACGTTTGCCATCTACGTTTCAATTCTTTAACCATACTTTTATATTTGTTATTTATAGGGTACTTTGATTCATGCCACTCTCAAGAAACAATAACTTGCCAAATACCAGAAATTTATCATCTCTGGTGAATGGAGAATCATTGAGAATTATACTTTGGCTAAAGCCATGGAGAAATTTAGGGCTACAAAACATCCATACCGGATGTCTCTCATGAATTCAACTATCGTCACTCCCTGTCCTTCGTTGTCTGACGACATGTACTTGGACTTGGCTGCCTTCGATGCTGTTTCAGATGAAGCTCAATGACCTGAGAATATTTTGGTTGGTATGTATTTACATAATCTATTCTAACCATACTATATTATGCTAATAGTTTAAATATACTAAAGCTTACGTTTTCTTTCTATCAGATATCATTGGCTAGCTCGTCAATGTTGGCGAAATGAAAACACACGACGTCAATAATAAAATTACGAAGAAACTCGAATTTGAACTCAGAAACACAAAGTCGTATCACTTTTTAGCTATGTTTTTAATTTACATTATTTAACAAAAGAATACTAATTTTCCGGATTCCTTTTATTGCTTTGCAGTGATGAGCGAATGGCTGGCACGTTTTGGGGGAGATTTGCTGAAACTCTTATGTCCGCTTGTGAAAACAGCGGTGATAAGAAGGTGATATGTTTGATGCGTTTCGCTAAGATAACTTCGTTCAAAGGTTTGCACATTATTGATTAAATACCAGCTTTATTACTAAGATCTCATTATAATACCTTACATTTTTATATGTCTTCTATAGGTGTACGATCAATATCGAATGCTTTTGATATGTCTTTGCTGTTGATTGATCCCCACTATCCAGAGGCTCTTGAGTTTGTTCAAAAGTGAGTATTTATTGCTAATGATATATGCTTTAATATGACTGAAACCATACCATGTTTACATTATATATATACTAACCACAATTATATCTAGCTTGCCAGATGATGGTCTCGCTTTGACACTGCAACTGCATGTTCCAAAAGAACAAAATGTTGTTCAAAAGGTTGAATACTACAACATGTTTCCTCGTAATACCATTCAAGAGCTTCTACATTCATCTGAGGTGGATCTTTACAATTCTAATAATCTTTATACTCTTTTTTATGTCTTTAGTTAATTTTCTAACATTTTTCAAACAAAATTCTAATAGGTTGGCAAATTTAAGATTATGTGTACAATCTTCGCCATTGATACCGACTTTTATTTAATCAAATAAATTTCTCAAAAACATGTATTTACATTTCCAGATTACAAAAACATCCTAACTAAACTACATTGGCTAACACTAATTTGAAAACAGAGATTCAAATAAAATGCATACAATAAGTCTAAAATCTTATATTCAAATACATCACATGTTTAACTAAATTACAGTTTTCCATTTCTTATCAATAGAAGACATTAAAAAAAAGATTACTTTGTTGAAACAAACTCAATCGATAGATATATGAATTATATACGATTTCCGATTTACCTTATCTCCATTTTAAAGGTCACTATTTCTCTGTACCGAAATCTTCACAAACTACAAACCAAGCTTCATGTATAATAAAAACCTTTTTCAGCGCAGATAACAACTTAATATCGACGATGTAATATTAAATTGTAATTTCTGATTAAGAATCGATTGCAAATTAAATGGATCTTATAGATGTAAAACATGAATTTTTCTTACCTCTTCGATTAAAATTCCAGGCGTTTAAGCTCACAACGACACAAATCGGAGCTGCAATCTATCAATTGATGGGTCTGTATGATATTTAGATTTCATTGCAGAAGAAGATTGGAGAATTCGTCTTCTTCATTTACGCTTTTTTTTTTCTCTGTTGTTTGTATACTGCAATCCTAATCATTTGATAATATCTAAACCCAATTAAATAAATATCCAATCAAACGTTGGGTTTCATATTGGGTCAGATTCTTACCAATATCTAACACAAATGCCCATGTCTTATTATTATGTAATTTTTATTAGTCTACACTTTAAATTCACATTCCAATAACGACATTAAACCACAAACAATGTTAAAAAAAATCAAATCACAAACAAACGTAACGAAAAATCTTCCCCCGCGGTGGCACCGCGGACTCTAACCTAGTACTATATAGCATTTTCTCATCTTCATTTTGTTGGGAAAATTGCATCCTTGTTTGTAAATATATGAAGTACTGCATCAAAACGGTAACTTCGAATATTATCGAAATTCTAATTTCTATACCCACCACCACCACCACCCATATATATATGTCTCATGTCATCTTTTCATGGGAAATAGAGATATTTACGGTTGATTTAATTTTAGTATTAGAAAATGATTCATTTTCAGCTTACGAATCAATGAGCAATGAACCGGCAAACAATCGTCCATAGAGATATCTTAAGAAAAAGAAAAGAGAAATTGTATCATTCTTTTTATATGTCAGAGAAATTTTACCTTTATACAGCCGACATCTTAAATATCTAGAAAATATACTTGTTTAGGGTTAGAGAAGATAAAATTTGGGTAGAACTTGTGCGAAGATATGTCGGCCGAATAAAAGCGACAAAAATTAGATTTGAGTTCAATATTGATGAGAGCTTTATATGATATCCACCGAGAAGATCCCATCACATGACAAATCTATCTTTTTCCTTATTCAGACACAGTGACACTACCTTATTTTCTTTGTTCCTTAACGTTGGTAGCTCCAGTACAATTCTTGGAAATGATTCATCTTGATATTTTTCGATGAAGCTTCCTTATTTAGATATTCTATTTTATTTGAAAGTCACCTTTGATTATTGTTTTCTTACCTACGTAAGATTTGGTTGGTAGCTGCATATACAATTCTTGAAAATGATTCATCTTGATATTTTTCGATGAAGTTTGCTTATTTAGATAATCTATATATATTATTTGAAAGTTAACTTTAATTATTGTTTTCTTACCTACGTACGATTTTGGGTTTACTTTTGTTCCATGTTCTAAACTAGCTTGTGAATTGTGATACTAACACTTACATATATATATAGAGACCTAAACAAAATGCATTTGGATTAGCCGATTAGGTAATCATGTGATGAGTCATTTATTTGTAAAAATAACAGCTGTTAAAATGGTAAATAAGTAGAATGTTACTGCTTAATTAACATGCAAACAAATATGTCACTTATTTACAATTTGTCACCGTATGTTACCGTTTGCAAATAAATTATAACTACCGTATACATGGTCATTTAGCAAATCAACCCTTACAAAATCTGCTTTTGTTCTTTGTATCATGCATGCATGCATCTCTTAATGGATGATCATTTACTTAATTAGCCACACAAACAAAGTCCCACGTTTTCCTTTGTGTGCATGATTTGGTCCAAGATTTTTCTTCAAACCCCATCATATAGTGCACACTACCAAAAAGTATTTGTGATTTTGGGATGGGACATTTTCTTTATAAAAGAAAAAATATATAATAATCATATTGTTAAACTCAAACAATTATTTCGGAATTATTATCTCGTAAACTTTTAACATTATCTGAATTTCTAAGCTTAAAGACATGGTTAATATAGTCTAACAATTCGAAAAGTATTTGTAAAAAACATTTGCATTAAGCTAGCAAGTTCAAAGGAGCGACTCCAAAGCACGGATTTACTATGTGGGTCTCTCATCTGAATAGGCTGCCTACTCGTGACAGGTTATTCTCTTGGGGCATGCAAATCCCACAACATTGCTACTTATGCTCAGATTATTGAATCAAGGGATCATCTTCTCTTGACTTGCAGTTTTAGTACTCTTATTTGGTAGTGGATCCAGGTCAGACTGCATCTCTCTCCTTGTATTTTTTATACATAGAATGCTCTCCTTGTCTGGACTAAGATTAAGACCGACTCTGCACCTACTATTCTTCAGAAGTTAATTGGTTGATCATGCTGCGGTCTATCACATCTGGAAGCAGAGAAATAACGTTTTGCATAATGACAACACTCGCCTCCCATCGGAAATCTACAAGGACATCGATCGGGAATTGAAAAATACTATCACTGCAAGAAGGTCTCAGAAGCTCTTCAGAGATCTAATGCTCCTTTGGATCCGCCAATTGTTGATTGACACCCAACAGAACTTTGTAAACCATGTTTTTTATTCTTTTTTTGCATCATTTACAATCTATAGGTTAAGTTTCTTATGTAAAACCTCAACACTTCATTTTAATGATATTCACATTCCTATAAAAAAAAAAAAAAAGCTAGCAAGTTTAGAGTTTCGACCATAGTTTATCTAAGTGTCAACTTCGGGAAAATTTCTTATTGAAAGGTATGGTCAAAGAAATGAAAACCACCTATTGTTATCTTCTAAACCTTGGATCTTTATGTGCATTACACCATATTTCATATTATCATGTTTGGACTCTTGGGCTCAAAGTCATAGCTGCACAAAAATAGTGTTATGTTTGGCTACTTCGTTACGTACGTTTACCAAACTTTTCCTTGAATGATAATCATATAAACTTTTCATTCATATAATTAAGCAATAGAACAACATGCATGCGAAGATAATCCAAAGATAATTAAATGCCATAAAATAGTTCATAACGTTTCCTTTTCATGGATCGAGTAAAAATTCTCACCTCATCAAAACCAAACTGGGAAACGTAAATAAAAATGACCATCGGATATTTAGTTTTATGCTTAGGCTTGTTGAACTTGATTTTTGTCTCTAGCTTTTTGAGGAAAATAAAAATTTGAAAATTTTAATTCAGTTTGACGATATCGATGAACGGGTCTTGTTTCGGTGCACGTCTTGTTTAGGTCTCGACAATAGAATTATGAATGTGTTTATGTGGAGGGAATCAAGATTCACAAATATTATCCATACAGATTACATATACACATATGCATAACTTTGAACCAAAATGTGAAAATTCATAGTTAAAAAAACGTTTGACCTTTACAAAAATGCTCAAAGTTACTTGGCATCGTTTTTTTTTTTTTTTTCAAACTTAAATCTCGAGCTCTGTGATGTAATTTACTCTAGTTGAGATTGGCGATTGAATGGCCACTAAAAACCGGTACAACTCTAGAAGCCTAATTTCAAGGCAGACCGATTCGGTTTTTAAGCGGTTATTCTCACTAGATATGAAATTACCACAACTAACCACATTAGCTAACCGGTTTTTCAACTCCTCATTCCTTTGGTTCAGCCGGTTCACTTCTTCGGTTAACTCTTCAAAACGTTTCTTCTTCTTCAACCTCGATCTCTTTGCCGATTCCCGGTTTGATATCGTCCGTCTTCTCTTCTTCTCATCAACCGGTACTAATTCGTTTGTACCACTTGGAATACCCGACTCGTCTGATTGAAGAAACGCCAATATTTCAGTGATTTCATCACCGGTTATCGTATCATGATCATCAAAGCAGATATGAACCGGCTCTAAATTGGTAGAAAACATCGATATTAGATAGAAAATGATATCCGGTTTGGTATTAAACCGGTTATTGGTATAATTGGTATTTAAGCTAGAGAATGAAAGCTAGAGAGGAAGGGGAAGATCCAAAATGAACCAAGAGTGGTTATTTATAGAGAGAAATGAGGAAGAACACGTGTGACTCACATTGGGATTATACTGTCCACTAAAAAAGTGCCAAGTATTAATATGTCATAATCAGAGTCAATCTAAGAGATTAATTGGAATGTTTGTCCACTAGTGCTCTAGATAACATAATTACTATATTATTTTACCTTTTGATTGGATACTGCTTTTTTTAACTTTTATCACTTTCTTAGCACTACTTTTAACTACAGAGATAGTGTGCTTACCAAAAAAAAAACTACAGAGATAGTGTATTAATTTCACACTGTTGTAAGATTAGTGTTTTCTTTTAAACAAAATTTGTAATATTGATTAATATAAAGCACTGAATGTTTAAGGATCGGATGTCGCCATGTTTAAAATATCAGAAAGAAACTATACAAAAGGTATACTAAATTATTATTTTCAGATCATAATTAAGTTTTTAAATGATTAGGATATATGTAGTCTATTGATGTGTTAGTGTTGTCTTTGTGTCAAAAATATATTTCAGTTATGAGACCAATTATGTGTATAGTGATATGAATTAGTGGGTGTTAGAGATACTGAGTAGTTTCAAACTAAGAAAATGCATCCACTTTTTAAAAATGTGATAAAAAAGAGGACACACACTTTATTTCCTCTTCGAGTCCTTCGATTGCTAGAAACGACTCCGAATTCAAGCTAGCATATTACATGTTGTTGACAAAAAAAAAAAATCAAATAAAATTGTATACTAAAGACAAAAGTTTTGGCGTTTCTATATATACAGTTCTTTACTTAAGTTAAGAATCAAGGGGGAGAAAATGGTGTGTGGGTCTTGACAAGAAGAAGAAGATGAGAGCTTAGCTTAATGGCGAAGAATCTAACAAAAAGCATATTACGTCTTAGTTTATTTTTTGTGTCTTTGGATTTTCTTATCTTTTTAGTAAGATAAAGTAAACAATACAAGTGAAACTACAGCTGCATTCTCTTTATAGTGTTATGTATCATTTTTTTTTTTGATAAATATGTGAATTTTCAATAGATGAAAAGATTGTAGAAGTTACAATAGTCGTGATACAAAAGATTGTTCCTTGCCAAAAAAAGGTAAAAACAAGGAAGAATCTAATAAGAGAAAATATGATCAGAAGGTAATCTAGTCATACTTAAGCCAAACACTCATAAGATTTTTGAAGTGTTTGCGTCTTTTTTTCGCCAAGATAGCATCTCGAACCAGTCTGTCAATGATCTTGAATAAGGCGTGAGTCTCGGTTGCAATGCTATTGTGGTACCGGTTGTTCCTCTCCATCCAAATGGTATAGATTATTACCTGCGCAACGAGCCTCCGAAGAATACGTGGTGAGGAAGAGTCTTTGATGTCTAACCAAGTTGAGAAAGCGTCCCAAGTGTGGAAAGCAAAAGGAGTGTAGCCCAATCTTTTTGTTGCCTTTGACCAAAGATCTTCACTAATTTCACAATGAAGAAACAGATGATCTCGAGTTTCCGGGAACAAACCACAGAGGCAGCAACTAGTAGTGAAGGGTAAATGTATCATTAAAATTCTGAATCAAACAAATTCATTAAAATAATAAAGGGTAAATGTTTTGGTATAATCGTATATCGTCTATCCATTAGGGGGTTGATATATAATATAATACAGTGATATATTGGAATATCTCGTCACTGTGGTATAAGTATAAGTGTATAACTAATCTTGCCTATTTACTTAAGAGGGTTTTGTTTATGTCAAAAATTTATGTAGTGGGCACCAATCTTGTTTTTTTGCCTACAATTATTTCCAGAGTTAAAGGATGTTAAAGAACACACTATTCTTATATTTGACCTTTGTAATCACGTTTCAAGAAAATCCAAAGTCCACTGTTTGTGACTTTGTAGCTTTTGTTAGTGGACTCAAACATGCATTCACATTTTCTCAACTTCTATAACCGACTCTATATATTAACATAATTCCTTTATGTTATTAAAATAGAAACATTAGTTTAACCTCAGACATGAGTTTTGTCATCTAACTAAGGCTTGTCTAACAACCAATCTATATTTTGACATATTTCTTTTTGCGTAAAGATAGGAACATTAATTAGTTTAACCTCAAACAGAGTTTTGCCATCTAATTAAGAAATGTCTACCACCAAGAGTTGGATTCATGTGCTTCCTCCTTATTTGTCTACCCTAAATTTCTTTTTATTCTTTAGCATTCCACATTCTCACCTCTCAAGTAAAGTCCAACAAAACAAGGCAAAAAGCTGTTTTATTTCACATGTATAATACTCCCAAGTCTCTAAGTGCCATATGCTCTATGCAAGATGTAAGTATCTTTATAGGGATCGGCGTAAAAACCGAACCAAACTGAACCAAACTGAACCAAAATTCATCAATCCACCAAACCGCACAAAAGTTTGTGGCCCGAACTGAATTAAGAACTGATTTTTGTAAAAGTATAAACCTGAGTGTTTACACAATACTAGAACAAGAATCTATAGACTTGATGATTGCAAATTCACAAAATCACAACTTCACTTTCATTTATTCCTGGAGGTAATAACAGTGGTTGTGGTAAACCACTTAGTCAAGTAACAGCACAAAAGGAATATTCCATCAGAGTACAAAAACTCATTTTGACAAAACCCACACTTTCTGTTTCCTACGCTTCATTCCAGAGTGTTCTACTCCATGTTTACTGGTGGAGATGCCTGAATAAAACACAATAAGTGGAATCTATCAGCAAAACGGATAATATATCGAAAAGATCCACTAGTTTTCAATTGTTGATGACAAATCATCTGGTACCTTGAATAAAAGATCATGAGCAATAGTGTCCCACGGTAACGAGATGGACATTAAGCAGCATTTAAGAGGGAACATCTCGTCTTCATCATATGAGGCGGTTGCAGCTGCTATTGCATGTTTAGCTGCGACAGATGCAACAGAGGCTGCTTTACGGAAAATGGAGCCGAGATCGATGCTCTTCTTTGAAGACATTGGTGAAACAGGCCCTAAAACTACTTGGCTCTGATCTGAGAAAATCAATTCTATACAATCATCCTTTAAAGCATGCTACGTCGTCCATATACCTTTCAAAGAATCTGCTACTCTTAACTTTTGGCGATTGTACTTCTTAAAATTTTCTGTTATTAAGACAATCCGACTTAAGGCAGTTGTTGGCTAGGGCATTCTATATGTTTTTACTTTTTATCTTCCATGCAATATTACTAACTACACTGTAAAACTCGAGAAAATAGAAAAAAAAACTAACAGAAAAATAAAGAGCCATTCAAGCATAAGAAGCGAAAAGTACCTATAACGCCAGAAACAGCTACTTCAACTTCTCCACGTCCTCCTGGACCTCTCATATAAAGTCTGTCTGCTTTTCCTGTATTATGACCGAGTGATAGGAGACTTCCAAACCGATTCCTCTCCCCTGTAATAAAAAAGTTTAAAAGATGAAAAAACATAAAGCGTGAAAATATCAATTAGCCTAAATCGACAAAACCGATCTCAGCCTATATAGACAAGGAAACAAGGAATAGGTTCCTTTAGGTCTTTTAGCTCTTAACATCTCAAAATTTCATGTCTACAAAAGTTAATTGTGTAGTCCAGCCATCTTGGGGTTGGGTACCGTTTCATATTCACACCTCCTTGATCTCTAAAGGAACGATATTACTTCCAAAATTTTCAACTTTACTTTGAGTCAGCCATTGATTCCAGCAAATGAGTAAAGGCATGAATATTAAGACTGCATGTTTCCCTGACACGAATGAGTAACCACTAATGAATTCTGTGTGCTATAGAGGAGGCAAGCTGGAGACCAAGTTCCTTACTATCATTGACCCTTAATGTATACTTTCCATCAAATATTTTGGGAGAAATATGAAAGACCGAGATCAACAATGATAGTGCTAAGTACTAGAAGACTAAGGCAAGTAAACCATGACTACAAAAGTTGCTGGAGAATTGAATTAGGTTCTAAAACTGCATAAGAAATAGATAAGAAACTGTAAAGTGACCTTCATAGGCTTCTCGAACCATCTGATAGCTGACAAACCCAGAAAACAGAGTAACCTGCAACCAAAAGCACCAGCATGTCAATTTTCTTTCTCATTAGGAAGTCACGACCATGTAATGTGTCCATAGGCCTTTTACAAACCACTGTGCTTGAAGTTAAAACATCTTTCCAAAAATCAAAAACAATATTCCTTAATTTGTTTAAGATCGACCCTTGCAAGTATCAGTGAAACTACCGACATATTCCTTTATATGACATAGTTAAAAAGATATTTTCAAAGCATTAAATAATCAATAATCTCCTTGCACGGAGCAGCTGAACTTCAACAGATATTTTAGATCCTTAAATAACCTTTTATGGACAGAGAACTCATTCAAAGCTGTCTACAGACACTTTTATAAGGATTGAGTTGGAAGAATGGCCAACCCAGATGCTTGACTAGCATACTTAAAATTAAGACTCAATTGCAGTCAAACCCCTTGAGATGGAAACAGGCTATTATAGTATAATGTGCACCATAGAGATTTATTAGAGAACTCAAGATGGAGGTCATCTCGATGGAAAGTAAGAGCCAAACGTTCATCCAAAAGTATGGGGAATAGGTCAAGGCCCTCAATATACATGGACAGTTACGTTTGCAAAAGATAAATACCTTTAGTTGTTTTCTCCTACTTAAAGAAGGATTACGTTACCAGTTGCTAAACAAGACCACATATTAAGGAATCTGTTTGAAACTTATAAAGGGTAGCAAATGAATAATTGATAGATGATTGGCAGCAACTGCTGAAAATAGAGAAACATAGACGGGGAAAAACTAGACCTTAGGATCTTTCACACTTCTAGGGTCAGCACTCGTATTAGAATCACTCGAATCTTTAACAGTTGCACTTGGAAACGCTGCCCCATCGTGAGAATTTAGAAGTACGCAATAGCAATGATCTTTTTCTGTCAGAACCTGCAAACATCAATGACAAAGCCAATGAACAAGGTCGGAAAAAACTATGGTCAGTATAACAACTTCAATGCATAAATCTAACCATACGACTTAAGTTATTTATAGGAACTATAAAGCCAAACCCCTCTGGGCTTAAGCAAAACTAAAGAAGAAGACAGGCCAATCCTCTGAAGAAGATAATAAAAAGCAGATACTGAACTCAAATAAGGAGAGGATGTTAAAGCACCGCAAAGGGTAGTTATAATATTATTATCTGGATCCTGTACCAAAAGCCAACTAATGTATCCTACAAAAGATTTTACTCTCCAGGTAAGGAGAAACTAAAAATGCATGTAACTTCACCCCAGTGGCAAAGGGGAGTTCATGCAGATTTCCTCAACCAAAAACTATTCTTCCAGAGCCGATTTCATTATGAACAAAATGTCACATTTCCTTTGACATTCATGTTTAGAGTTTCTTTGAACAAAAGGACTACAGAATATAACAATTGGAAGGGCAATATAAAGGAAGGAAAATATGTTACCACAGCATCAAAGGTTGAGTCAAAATCATCTACGGCAAAACAAATTTCTGGGTAGGCAGGTGTTGTTTCCACTTCCTATTGACACAACAATGGAAACATCAAACGCTAATTCCAAATGGAAAAACATTGCTACCAGAAAAGCGACTATACTTGCCTTTTTTGAGTCCAGATGAAAATTAACACGACTAGGTGATGCATATACAGTTTTTACAACCTGCACGATATGAATGTCAGATCAGACAATGTGATTATTATTGGCTTACAGAATATGAAACCAACATGAGGCTCAGAAGGAAATATCCAATTTATGTCTGGCCCAACACTCCTGTGGAATGTCCTCTCTTTTAGAAAAACGAAACTGGATTTCTTATTCCGTTTCCTTTTCCTTACCGTTGTTTTAATAGGCTCATGATAAAAACAAAGCTGGACTGACATGTTTTGAACAGCAGTGTATATAACTACTCTTTTGCTTCTGTTGCTTTTTCATATGAAAAGATAAAAGACGAGCTGAAGAGTCAAGAGCAATTTCATCCAACATTCGTAGGATCTCTAACCTTGTATATAGGAGAGAGTTTTGTGTCTTTATTTCCTTGGTACGTCTTAAGGGCCTCATTACTATAAACACAAGCAGTTAAAAGTTACCATGATGGAGTAAAATGGAAAGACAAAAAAAGCCATATGAAAAGTATAACATTGGACCACAGAAGAAACAGGTCATAAAAATGACTCAAGGCCTAATCACTGAAACAAAGAAGAGGGTATCTGAAATTCCAACCTAAGAAATAGCTAGATTGAAGTAATGCTTGATGCAATAAGATGTATTTGAACCCAAAACAGTAAAGGAGGATAGTAAGATTAGCAAAACAGTAATCACAGAACCAAAATTGTTAATTAATGTAAAATAGACCGACATGAAACGCTAATCACCATCTGAAAGTCAAATGGTTACCTGCAAATAGCCACTGTAACAGTATATGATGTGTGAGCAATCATGTTCAAATAAAATGATTTCCTCCAATCAACTTCAGCCAAACTTTCACCAAGCAGCTCATCCAACTGCTTCAAAATGGAGAAGAAATCCATTACCATGTATTTATAGACAATAGATACAAGGTGGAACACAACAAACAAACAGATACTTTGAAGCCTCAAGTGGTCTAGTTCCCAGATAAATAAGATATGATAGATCATGAAAAGCTTTGGCATGTAGGCCAGCAAAGAACAATACCAGATATCTGTTTCCTACAGTTTTTACCTTAGGTGCCCACCTGCGCACAAAGTAAGGAGCCGGTGCTTCTTCATTTTCAGTCAAACCATATGACTTACAGCTCTGGCAAAAAGCAACAAAACACTCAGCAACATTATCAAGCCTGCAGGATAATACCGATGTTGTAAATTTCCGGCTTACATACCAATTTCCTGACAAAAAACAGAAGATCATCGTCTTGCCGCCTCCTTGACTCCATGCAACGAATGAAGTAAACATCAAACACACCATGCCAGAAATTAGAGTCCATTTCTACATCAGACGCATCTTGCTCATCAATAGACGTCTTTCCTAATGACTTTGAGTGCTTCTTTACCATACTCAGAATCTCATGTCTGACAAAAACATGAAGCAGACAAATAAAATCACATATAGAACGATCGAATCAAATAAATGCTGAATTACTACGAATTCTTAGTTTCCGAATAAAGCAATTTCATGGTGGAATAACAAAATCCATCAAATAGACAACTATGTCACTTCAATTTGAGCAGTGACTGATGGAACTAAGCACGAGATCAAACATAGAACAAGAAAAAAATCTGAAGATGTTATGATCTCGATTTGTTTACCTAGAAGGAGTCTCTTCTCCATCGTTGAGCATTTTTTTCTACCCTCCGATGATTCTGCTAAATTCTTCTTCGTGGTTGACGATCTCGTGATCGAATAGGGTTTTTTTTCTGGTGTCACTATCTCTGACTGGTTCTTCGTTTCTAATTTTTGCGAGTGAGATAAAAGAGAACACAAATCGTCGATCTGATTTGCTTTAGCGTTGGCAAAATGTTGGCGTGTTGCGTCAATCGGAGCGGGGAACCTCAATAACTACCGATTTGCTACACTGAAATTAACATTATTTATTCATTTTTTCCGATGTGCTAATTAACATTACTCCCTCTTTTCTTTTTGCGCATAAATCATTTTCTGTGATTGCAATTAAAAAAATTTTATTGTATAAATGGTGGGTTTCAAAGTTAGTAATTCATATATGACAAATAAATTTTATCCATCAAATTTTGATACGTGCTAAAAAGAAAATCATACAAATTTTAAAAGTAAAAAGATTACAATTTTTTTCAAAATATATAAAAATAAAATAATATAACAAATGACCAAACCATAAAAAGGGAAAAACAACAATTATTATTCCTAGAAAATATATATATATATATATATATTATTTTATTTTTCGTCGAAATAAGGTTATATCTATATTTGAAAGTCACTACAAAATTTGTGTTCCAACCATATTGGTGGTTTTACAGAATTATTACAACTATATCTTGCAAGCACATGAACTGCTTCATTACATGATCGTCTTATAAAAGCAAAACGGATCTCTTTAAACTTTGATGACCAAAACCTTACATCCTTTAGTAAGTTACGAATTGAAGCTCGGGCACGGGCATTCACGACCGGGGGCGTCAGAAGGCTCCGGACCGGTCGCGAAGCTGTCTGGGTGTTCGGGACATGTCTTCCCTCTTCAGGGCATAACTTCCTATTGGCTCGTTGAAAAGCTCCGATTCCACTTTGAGGTGAATCTTGACTCTCCTAGCTTTCCATAGCTACCGAGATCTTTTGATTTTCTAATCGGTAAGACCTCAAACGGATGCCATACTTCTGAGGCACATAAACTGTCTTGAAACGGGATTTGATCGTCTTTTACTCTTTTTTGCTTGAAAACACATTATTCATCCTTGAAGCATAAATACTTGAAAACATCCTTGAAATCTCCAATATCTCATGTTTTCTCTTTGGGAAACCTAAATAAAACATAGTAAAAGTGGGCTATTATACGATGTTATCAGAAAGAAATGAAGGCTCTCTCTGCAGTCAATTCAACATCCTCAATAACACTTGGTAAGGACGGAGCATCAGTATCTTTACCAGAAGGCGTGTTGTCATCCCTATGCATCTGCAAACCCGGGATTAAATCATGCAGGTCAATGGTCTCCATAGTGTTTGCCTCAGAAATTTCTTGCTGTGGAACGTCTCTCCCCTCCATGTCATCATCATCCTCTCCACTTTGGATATCCGGATCATCGTCTTCATAGTCCAAAGTGCAATCTTTCACATCGTGCTTCAACGATCCACATTTTGTACAAAAATTGCAGAGCCTCTCAAAGCGATACTGAATGATGGAATTCTCTTCAAATCCAAACTGAATGTTCCTTTTAAAGCGCAGTGGTGAATTGAAGTTCCAAGACATACTGACCTTGACAAAATCCACCCGATTCACATCAAAGTCCACATCTGTAACCGGCGCCAATTTGTTTCCAATGGATTTGGCCATATCCCCAGTGAGATACAACAATGGAAGTCCTTTGATCTGCACCCAGAAATGAATTATCTTCATCTCTTCGTCTGTTATGTTGGGGTACCATCGGTGGACCGAGACCATCCAATCATTGAAAGACCCGACCAACACAAGAATTCATCGATTCCTGCGGAGCACCAAATTCATCGATTTATCGTTCTGAAACACAAATTGTGCTTTTCCATTCCCGAGGACCCGACCAACACAAGAATTTTCAAGGCCCCAAACCCTTGGCATTTGGGTGATCATTGCTCTGAGGTTCTGCTTCTGTGGATTAACAGCGGTGACGACCAGAGCAAAACGGTTGACAGAAGCAGCCCTTGCAATGAATTCCCGGGGTAGAGTTAGTGGTGCATCATCGATGCCCAAATCCAGATCCTGAATTGACTTTCGGAGATCACTCATTGTTATTGGTTCTGTTTGTGATTGAATTAATCGGAATGAAGGAATGTTAAATCGAAGACAGAAATTGGGAAATTTATAGAATTGGGTTCCTGGCGGTTGGGATTGGAAGTTACCCCTCGGGAAAATAGGAATCCAACAACTGCCATGGAAGTCAACAGGCAGAGTGAAACCGTTGAAAAAACCTTTACAAATAAAGAATATCGCCGGAAAATTCCTCCGGAAAAGAGAAGAAAAGAAGGATGATCGGGAATCGCCTTAGCGATCACCCGCAGAGCGAAAAGTCGCCATTTTTCCTGTGGCACCCACATTACTAACATCTTATAATATCGACAATATATATTTAAAATGAAAATTATACATAAAAACCTAAGCAAAATAAAACGTATATTTTATAGTATATGATTTTTTTTTTTTGACAGCATATTATAGTATATGATTAAAAAGGATATACTTCAATTAAAACAACAATTACTAAAAAACTTATTAAAAAGGGTAAATGTAAAAAATAATTACAATTACTATATTATTAAAATAATTATAATTACAATTACATCTTATTATATAATGTTTGATGTTTCAAAGTTAATAATTAACATGATAGTGACATGAGTTAAATTAGCAAAAGATTTATATATCATCGTGTTTATAATTATCTATTTTATTTTTCATTGAATTGTTTTTGTGTTTTTTTTTTGATGAAAAGTTAAATTTATTGATCAATATAAAAAAGTGATTATGTAAAAAAAAAATGAATAAAACCAAACCTAACAAGATTATCTAAAACCACGAGCTTGAAACCATCTTTGGAGGACAGATCTCAATCGTGGGAGTCTTGATAACAAAGTGAAAGGACACGTTGTCGAACAGTTTTCTCTATCGTACGAGTCATGTGTGTAATCGTACGTTGAGTAGCCCCATGTCGTCGATCGTTTCTCTAGCTCCTTCCATACAAAATAAATTGTAGTTTCGAAAGCCAAACGAAGGAGAATCTGACTTAGCTTATCTCGGTTTTTGTTGAGTTGGTGCAAAGTAATATCCCAATCCGGGTTGGGTTGAGATTCCAGCAAGTCTCCAACAATGTCACTCCAAACCGTAAAAGTGTAAGGACAAGCGAAGAATAAATGATTTATTGACTCGTCTGGTTCCCTACAAAAAAAATACATGGTTGATCCCCTCCCCACACTCTTGCCGTTACACCAGTCGATAACCGATTCTTGACAGCAAGCCAAGTTATAAATGCAAACGGCGACACTACGTACTCGTGAGAACCATATTGAACGGGCCCAAGGTTGCTCTGGACGACGAAGGCGAATTTGTTCCCACGTCACTTTTGCTGAGAATTCCTATTCACATGTGTCTGGTGCTGTGGTGCATACCTCCATAAAATAAGATCCTTACCAGCCAAAAGTACAGGCAGAGTCGTAGCCATGATCTAGTCGACAACCAGTTTTTTGTGTTGGTTGTGACCGCGACAGATTGACCAGCAACCTCCGGTAACTGCCTCTGAAACTGTGGCAAATCGATGCACAGCTAGTTCTTATGTTCCCCTTTCTTCAATTAAGTCAATAAGACACCCCATTGACAACCAAGTATCTGACCAAAACTGTGTATTATTAACGCCATCTTTTACTTCCATTTTTATGAATTACATGGCTTGTGGTCGAAGCTTGAGCAGCTTACGCCAAACCCATGACCCCGAGACTGTAGCTTTGATATCCCAGAACGACTCATTACGTAGAAGGTATTGATTGACCCAAGCCACCCATAGAGAACCCGACATGGTAAAGAACCTCCAAATTAGACTCAGTGCATAAACCCGAGAGACCTTAGTCATACATCGAACTCCCAACCCCCCTTCCTTTTTCGGGTAACATACCTCCTCCCAAGACACCTTGGCCATTGTTGCATCAAGCGGTGAACCACTCCAAAGGAATGAACTACACATTCTTTCAATATCCTGAAAACATTTCTTTTTAGATATTATTTATTTTGATTTCTACTTTCAGTTTGAATTATTTAAGATTTATGATATGTGATCGTGCTGATAATTTTAGATTGCGACATTTTGACATTATATATTTCAATTTCATTTGTTGACAAAAAAAATATATTTCAATTTCATTTTCTAATTAGAAATATTTGATGATTTAAAATAACTTTTTATATTTTTTGAATTTTCATTCTCAATTAGAAGTATATAAGATCAATATATGCTTACTTTTTTCTAAATTTTTTATTTTACTTGTAGTATTTTAAGACTATTTATTTTAATTTCTAGTTTCATCTTTGAATTCTCTAAGACTTATATATCAGTGTGCTAACAATTTTCCATTTTTTCTTTTAGTTATGTCAAATTAATTTTTTTTAGTTACCTTTATTGATTAGTAATAAACTTATTGCAATTGAGTAGTTTTTATTTATTTAAATTTTTCCTTTTATAAATACATCATAAATTAATGATAGGTGATATATTGAGTCAATAATTTTAGTGGTTAAACTATACAAAAACGAAAGTAAAGAGACATATAGTTGGACATAAAAAAAAAGAGAGACATATAATTGGTTTAATGTGTTCATAGAGACATTTTCTAGGTGATGGTAAAGAACATATTTCAATAGTAATATATGATTTGATGTAAAAAGACAATTTTAGTGGTAAAGTAGATAGTAGATTCATAATGTAAATCAGATGACGGTTTGACCAGTGGTTTGCATGTAAAACATTTTCTAATGAGTTGTGGAATCATATTCTAGGCGAGATTAAGAAACTACTTTTTTTAGATTTGACAATAATAAATAATGATGAATATTTGGCAAAAGTATTGGTGGTTGATAACTTAACTTTACTAAATTATTGTAATAACTAGATTTTAACCCGCGGTACACCGCGGGGCTATACTTTAAACAAAAGTTTGAAAATTATCTATAGATATAACCTATTGTTTTGTTTGGTTAAATATACTTACATATGTATATATTATATATATTACCCCGCGATACTTCGGGTCGATTTTTTATAACAATAATTTTTAAATTTTAAGTTGTATTTTTTTGTTAATATTATTTATTTTATTTAGTGTTTAAGATTATATAACTGTATTTGATTGTTAATCCTAGGATTTCACCCGTAGTATACCGTCCCGTATTAATATCGACCCAAACCCGTCCCACCATATAACCCGTCCCATGAAATTAAACATCATTTTGTTATATTTCTTTTTAATAATATTTTTATTTAAAAACATATACAATTCGAGTCAATTTATAAGTTTGCTTTAAAAAAACATATAGTTGTAATGTTTTTATTATAATAAAGTAATAATATATAGATGTTGCTTACTATAGTTATAATCAAAACCAACTAAAAATCTAAGTTTAGTGTTGATTATGAATCATAGTTACGACCAAAAAAAAAAATTAATCAAATACAATTAGTGTAAATTAAATAATTAAGAAAACAAACAGAAATATAACAAAACTTGCTTTAAAATCGTTAATAAAAAAAGGAAACATCATATTTAAGCAAGATCTTTGGAGCCAAAATCTTTTTTTCATATCTTTTATTTAATTTTCCAAATCTTAAGAATTAAATCCAGTGGCATTCCATTGTAAATAGTAGTGAAAGCCAGGATTTATTTCATAATTGTATTCAAAAATGTATATATAGAATCTTAAAATAAATTTATAATATAGAAATGTAAATGAGTATATGAAGACAAAAAAGAATATCTAAATAATTATTTTCGCTAACTAACAAAATTCTCTATTTACTTCCTAAAAATTGTTACTAATTACAATGAAATTTTATACATTTTTTGGTTAAATTTAATTTAATTTAAAATATTTTAAACCCGCATATCGGGATGGTCCTTATATAGTATATAAGAAAATCAAGTTGACAAAGTCAGTTCATGCCCAAGTTAACAAGTTGCAAGCTTCAATTTTTCTTATAATTATATAATCTTTCTTTTTTAAGAGCTACATTTTTATTCTAGGATTTACAATAACATTTTTTAGAAACTATTAAGAGTCTTTTTTTTTTCTCTTCAGAAATACAATCTTACAAAGTCTCAAACTAACTGAGCTTACAAAAGAAAAACAGCCCAAGACAACATAGAAATTCACTAAGGAAGAGATAAAGAAGGAAATATCTCCAGCATTTTATAAACGTGTAATGAGCTAAAAGTATTTTTGATTGTTGTATTACCCTTCGATAATAGGTTTGCTGACCCACAAAAAAAAAAAAACATAATTCATCAAATTATGCGATAGGAGAATGTCAAATAATAAAATGCATTTTGTCCTTTTTGGGACCTAATCGAATAAACATTTCATAATCTCTCTCTCTTTACTCTAAAATTTTCTCATCATCGTCCATTATTATACTAATAGCTTCGAGTATATTTCTAATTTTAATTAGTTACTTTTAACTTGTGAATCTAAGAAATTTTTCTTCTCACTTAACGGGTGATGCATGCAGGCGATTCACTTAGACAACAACATTACTGGTTATAATAACTTCGATGTCTTCGATAAGAGATGAAATATGAAGTCTTGATATTTTAAGAATCATTAAAAAAAGTTTTCTAAGAATTTTATGTCATTTGTTTCTTTGTTGGAGGAAAACAGAGATGATAAAAAAATATACAATGAACCAGTCGAGAGTCTCATCTCAGTGAATAAGAATGTTTTTCAACAGACCAAGACTCCACAAAGGCCGACTAGCAAAAAAGTTAAGATAAACTATAATACGTAAACTCCTACAAAACAAATTGTATATGGTCAAGAAGACAAAATGTTTAGGTGGAAATGTGTGTAGAAAAAGAAGTAGTAAAGATCAAGAATCTACTTGAGACAAAGATGCGGTTGGAAAAACTTCACGTCAAAGCAAGAATTTGTGTAAACGAGCATTAGATTTTGAACGTAAAACGGAGAAAACCAATCGTATATCATCACTAACCACGTAGATGAGATAAAATCAGCTTTTAGAGAAAAGTAGTTAGATTCCGCAAATCAAGAATCTAAATATTGCTTTCCTTCAGCGCCTAGCACGCCCAAGAGAAAGCTCAGGCAAAACAAAGGAAAAGGAAATGAACAAAAGAATAATGGCAATAATTTGTCAGGCGATCGTTGGGATAAGATAGACACATCAATAAAGAAGAGAACCTCATGCCATGCTCGAGTCTAGATGATGTGTTATGTAAATAAACTTATGGAAAAAAATAAATTACAGTAAACTATATTTAAATAAATTTTTTGAATTAATGTATTTAGATAATATTAATTGTTT